TTATTTTGATATATCACAGTGAAAGATTTATCGTCCTCTTTTTTTTTTTTTTTTTTTTTTTTTTTTCAAAAAAAAAAAAAAAAAAAAAAAAAAAAAAAGGGAGGAGCAGTGGGGCCAAAGCCTCACTACATAGCTCTGACTGATAGGGAACTTATTATGTAGACCAAGCTGGCCTTGAACTCACAGAGATACACCTGCCTCTGCCTGCCTCCTGAGTGCTAGGATTAAAGGCGTGTGCCACCATGCCTGGCTCATAGCTCTAACTTCTATTTGCTGCTAGTGAAGACTGAGAATGTCTCACTGTGTTAGCTAGGCTTCCCTCACAGGTTCCATCCCAGGCAGCACCACATTTCTCAGCAGTTTTCATGGTTTCGGGTTTCTCAAAAAGTCTCCTTTGGGACCTGACTCTTTCCTCCTCGTGCTGGCTCAGCACAGAGCCCCTGTCTAGAATCCCCTAGTGAGGGGCTGGGGGCTTGGCTCAGAGGTAGAGCCCCTGCCTAGCATGCAGGAGACCCTGTGTTCCATTAGCTTTACTACAAGGATTAAAAAGCCACCACCACCACAAACAACAAGGTTGAAAAGTCACTAAAACTGGGCTGACAACTACCCAAGTAAGTATTTCACAGGTGGCTTTTCTTCTGGGTGTGGGTGGCGGGAAGGCATAAGAAGTTAGACTCTTATTTACACTGTGAAATGCTCTATGGAAGCGTATTTCAGGGAACTTCTTCCTCCTCCATCATCTTTCTCTCTGCTTTAGATGCTGGGATGGAGCCCTGGGCTTTACTCATGCTCTGCAAGCTTTCTGCCATTGAGCTGTATCTCTAGCCTGGGGAGCTTTTTTTTTTGGTCTTTCTGAGACAGTGATACCTGTAGCCCCAGCTGTCCTGGAACTCACTATGTAGACCAGGCTGGCCTTGAACTCACAGAGATCCTCCTGCCTCAGCCTCCCGAGTGCTGGGATTAAAGGCGTGCACCACCACGCCCGGCTTTGTTTTTAAAGTAAGCAAATGCCACTGAGGCTCAAGTCTAGAATACTCTACTGGGGACCCTCCACTGGTGTGGCCTGAAGGACTCCCAGAGGCACCTGCTGGAATCAGAGTCGACCAGTCATTTTTCTCAGCAGGGCACTTCACTTTAGAGAGAGGAGCATCATGTACCACTGCCCCGCCCTGCTCAGGTGCAGAAAGGATGAGATGCCGAAAAAAGAAAAAAGAAAGCTAAGAAAAAAACCCTTACCACTCTGCTTTCATTTCCCTTCGAGTTTTATTTATACCCTGGTGTTGTTCTTGAAAACCAGCAAGGTAACCAGAGAGGAAAACAGCCCTGGGAGGGGCGGAGCTCAGTAGTTACAAGTGTCATGAGATTAGGAGCCGTAGGACAATGGCAACAAACAATGGCATAGAGGACACTGATTTTCCACAGCCCCATCCAACTCCATCCTGGCCCAGTGCCAGGCACAGGAAGTGTGCCTGGCTTTCAAATCCCCAGGTGCACGTATGTGGGAACAGATGGATCTAGGAGTTTTACAGAAGGGGCCAATGCAATTGGAGGGTCGCTGAGCAGAAGAACAGGGAAGAGCTGGGCAAAAGTTCAGGCTGTGAATTCTCCCACCCAAGGTCAAGAGCAGCTCCAGGCCTGGGCCTACACTATGCATTCAGATGGCCTCTGACTGGACAATTCTGTTTAAACTTATCCTCTGACATTCTAATACATGTGTATAATGTAATTTGGTCATATTCACTCCTCACAACCCTCTTATCTGCCCCACTAGTCCCCTCTTATTTCCATGTCTTTTTGTGTGTGACCCTGAGTTGATGGAGGTTGCTTTCATGGGCGTGGCTGGCGGGGTCTCAGCCTCACTATGGCTCAGGCTGTTGCTGGCTTACCTCACTTGCTGAGGCCAACAACGAGGATGGAGAAGGCTCCAAGCTTTCCCTTAGGGAACTGCCCTCCCCAACGAAGCACTGGAGACAGCTTGAGACCACAAGCCCTTCCCGGAGGCTGCTGCCCCCATGTGGCAGACACTTCCTGGTGGCAGAAACTAGTTTCCATTGCTCAGAGGTCATCACACACACAGTGACCGAGCAGCCTGCCATCATTGCAACACCAGGTGCTGGCCTCTCACTAAGTCAGCCCTGCTGAGCTCCTGTGTGCACATGCATACTTCTCTGAAAACCTGTAATGTGTCAGGTGTTTCTTGGAAGCTGCATGCCACATCACATGTTGCTACTGCTGCCAGCCACAAGCCTTTGGCACCTGAGAATTATCTGAGCAACTAGGATGCCAGGGCACAAGGCATGGTGGGGATGTCACCCTGGGTATTGGCTGCCACCTATGGCTGGCCCTCCATATCTGCAGGTTTCACACCTAAGGATTCAACCAACCTCATCTGAACTGAACACACAGACTTCTTCCTTTCTATAAAGGTAGAACAATGCGGCGGGGTTCACAGCCTGCCAGGCACTCTAAGCCACCTGAGAGGCAGTGCTTGTGCCATACTGAGCCATATTACAGGAACCAGCATGGATTTTGATATTCCTGTATGTCCTGGAGCCCATTTTCATAGATACTGAGGGATGCCTGCATCCTCAAGACTCCCTCCCGTCTCCTCTTTCAGATGGCTGGAGTCTGCAGGGGAAGGCCTCCTGCCTTGGACTCCCCTCAACATCTGGCTTGGGAAGCTGTCCCTGCATCCCTGCAGAGGACATGACCCTGACAAGAAGATAGATTTGCTAACAGTACCTGGGCAGACACTTGGGGAAGGAGGGCTCCATGTGAGGGGTCTCCAAGCCACACCACAGTTCTAAGGACAGGATCTGCTTCCTGCCAGGGGACTCTAAGAGGAGCAGGGCAGAGAAGGCTGCAGCATCAGGGCGAGGGGTCAGGCATGTGTAATACTGCTGTCTTTAATTCTTTAGGTTTGCCTGTGTTAAGGGTCTCAACTCAGCCCAGGCTGGCCCAGACTTGACACTACCCCGACTCAGCCTCCTGGTTGCTGGGGACACAAGTGGCCCACCGTACTCCCCACCATACTTGGCTTGCTTCCCTCAGCCCTCGCCAAAAAGGACACACTACCATTAAAACCAACAGACATGATGCAGCCAGTGTGCTGGACTCTCAAGTTGTGCCTTAGCCCCTCACCAAGGCCATGGCTGTCAACAGTTTAGCAGTTTCTTGGAAAGGATGGGCTCTACCGCTGTTTCTTTCATTAGAGACAGTATCTCACTATGTAGCTCAGGCTGGCTTCCAAGTCACAGGAACCCTCCTGGTTCAGCCTGTCGAGTGCTGGGATGATAGGCATGTACCGAGCTGCTCCATGACCAGGCCATCTGAGCACTACCTGCCAGTCAACTTCAGCTGAGCTCAAGGTTCAGTTCTGTAAGCACATGTCACTGCAGAGCCCCTGACAGTTCTGACAATGTCCCTGATACCCAGGGCCAGAGTGGGTAAGGCAGTCATGGCAGGGCGCTGCCCACCCACTAGGCCTGGCTTTTGTCCTTGGGGGGGCCCAGTTTTCACCTGTGTATCTGTTCACATTTTTTCACCGAGCTCTTACCATTCAATACTCTTCTCCCCAAAGTCCAGACATTTGTGTAGCCCACTTTCTCAAGCCTGAGGCCTGCCACCTCCGCCTCCCAGGACCTGTGTCTAACCCTTCTACAGTTTCTATTTCTTTCTTTCCCAGGGCCTTGAATGCGCCAGACAGGTGATCTGACAGAAGACATTCCCCAGTCCCTCCAGCTTGTACTTGGCCACAGGGGTGCTGACTTCATCCCCGGTATCTGCAACACCAGTGGAAGCAAGATGGGCTGTGGATTATGGAATCAGCAGCTTCGCACAGAGGGAAGGAAACACGTCTTACCCCAGGTTTGGGTATTGTCCAGACCCCATCCACTCGCTGCCTTGCATAAAGTTGTAGTCAGAGTGTGACAGGTACAGGGACATACATACATACACGACAACAGTTATGCCTGACCACCCAACCACAACAAGAGAAATGTGAAGGCTGGAGGTGGCAGGATTCCTTGGAGGGGCCTTACCTTAGACATCTGGCTGAAGTCAGCGAAGCCCTCGGCACTGCTGAAGGAGCTGCTTCTGAAGGGGTCTAAGGCTCCGAAGGGATCTACAAGTGGCAGCAACAGTCATGGTTATCATCTGAGCAGGTCTGCTAAGGGTCAAGGCACAGCTCTGGCCCTGGAGTCAAGAGATTCAGGGTAGCTGAGCTGACACTCAGGGTGGCTCATAGATGCAGCCTCTGAGAGTTTCTCCCATGGGGCTTGTGGGAATCATGGTTATCAAAGGAACGTTCAAGCCTGATATGGAAGATGGGCAGGACTGCAGGGTACTCATTTGGCCTGAGGGGCTTAGGTCAGGATCTGGAAGCCCCTAGCCAAGGTCATGCATACAGAAAGCCACATTGATGGGGCTGGAGAAATGGCTCAGCAGTTAAGAGCACTGACGGCTCTTGCAGAGGACCGGGTTTCAGTTCTCAGCACCCACATGGTAGCTAACAACTGTCTATAACTGCAGTTCCAGGGTATTTGACACCTACTTCTGACCTCCGTGGCATTGCACAACATGAAGGCACTTACATACATGCAGGCAATATACTCACACACATAAAATAAAAATAATAAAAATAATAAAGCCACAGTGGTTTGGGGAACGATGGGTTAAAGGCAGCACTGCTCTCACCTGATCCTTTTGAGGAGACACTGGAGGATGAGAAGGGATCGCTGGAATCAAAAGGGTCAAGCTGAGGGAGAAGACAGGAAGATAGTTCACTTATCCTGTCTTCCAGTCGCTCAACCGCACTCTCCTGACAATTTCAAATGTCATAAACCTCAGGGAGGGTAGGGTGACTTCAACAAACCTGGGCAACAGATCGTTTTCTTGCTGTAGAAAACCAATAAATTCTAGAATTTCCCACCAAAAAAATAATTAGGGCATTAAGAGATTACAGAAGAGCTGGGGGGGCATGGCTTAGAGGTAGAATCTCTGCCTAGAATCCCCAGTGAAGGCCTAGAGGTATGCCTTAGAGGTAGAGCCCCTGCCTAGGGTCCCCTAGTGAGGTACTGGAGGTGTGGCTCCAGGGTACAGTGCTTACAGAGCATGTCCAAGGACCTAATTTCAAATCCCAATAATTGGGCATTGTGGCACATGCCTTTCCCAGCACTTGGAGGCAGAGGCAGGCGGATCTCTGTAAGTTCAAGGCCAGCCTGGCATACCTAGTGAGTTCCAGGTCAGCTGGGGCTACAGGGAGACCCTGTCTCGAAAACAAAAAACAACCCCCACCCCCCAAAAAATCAAACCCCAGTGATGTAAAAAAACAAGAACAAGAGATTTGGAAGATCACAGTAGGAGGCTGAGCTGCCAATCAGACAGCTAGCTACATGTGGGGAGAGAGATAATAAAGTACAGATAGATGGCTGTGTTCTAGGAGAAATCACATTTTCTTTCTGGTCTAAAGGACAGAGTCTTGGGACAGCTGTGCCCATGAGAAGGGGAGAGCATAAAGGAGATAGTAATAGAACACATGTGTTCTCTGCACGTGTGAAGCAGCCATGCTAGAGGCTGCAGGAAGAATGCAGTGGGAGGGGTCTGCAGTGGGCGGTGCCCCACCCTGCCGAGTTAGGCGCCTGCTGAAAGAGAGCCACTTGCATTCCTCAAGGGAATGCAACAAACGCCAGTGTCCACCACTATCTAGAAGCCGATTTGTTATTAAACCACTTGACAACCAAAAAAGGCAGAAAATGGAACCAATTCTCAAGGGACAAAGCAATTAATGGGGCTGGTCAGGATGAGCCAGCTGTTGGGGTTCACCAGCAAGGGCGACTATGAAGCAGTCACATGTCTGCTCAACAAGGTAAAGGAAAGCATGCTGACCATAAATGAAAAGAGGGTAAAAGCACTGCTGAGAAATACAGGGACAAATGGGACCTAGAACTGAAAAGGACAATAAGAAGCCAAAGCTTCCTGGGTGACTCCAAAGGCAAAAATAAGCAAATGTGGAGCGAGATCGGCAGAAGTCATCGATCTGAAGAAAACAACATGAACAGAAAAGAACAGGGTGGCAGCCAGACTCAGCAGAGCGCACATGTGAGGTCCTGGGTTCCACCTATAGTAGAGCCATGGGACCTGTGGGACCAGAGCAGAAGGAACCCCAGAAAGATGAGAGAGAAAATAGGACTGAAAAAAGAAAAAAAACAGACACCTAAAATTCACCAGATTTGGGGAAAATATTTATGGGCTCAGACAGCTGAGCAAACTCTTAACAGTACAAAAACGAAGAAAAGCCAAATGATTCACCAGTCACTGAAGGTCAGGGAAGGGACCCACAGAGGCACTGGGAATAACCAGAGAGCAGCAGAGCCCTGCATCCATGGGAGTGACTGCTCGAGAAGGGCTCTTCTAGACTTTTCTAGGGGACTGCTTATCAAGGTCAACCAAGGCAGGACAATAATGGAATACTGCCCCGAGGTGCTGAAAAGTGGATGGCACAACACAGATGACCCCCAGTAGTGTGTGTGACACAGCAAAGGCACACACCGACACAGATGGCCCTCAGCAATGCAACACTAGACCTCAGTATGCTCAGGGATGCTCTCTCAACTGAAGGAAGGTGACTCAAAGGAAGACAGAAATGATAAATCCCTGGGTGATACTCAAAGTACGTTTGTATTTGGACACGCAGCTCAACGCCTGTCAGCCCAGCACAGGGAAGACGAGATAAGATTGCTGCCCATTTGAGGCCAGCCTGGTCTATACAGAGAGACTATGCCTCAAAGGAAAAGAGAGAGCAAGGGGAGGAACAGAGTGAGAGAGCCACATATAAAAGGACAGTCTGGGCAGTGGAAGCACGTGGTCTGTCTATCTGAGACAGGGGCTTGCTGTCTTATACAGGGTGGTCCACAATTCCTGGGCTCAAGTGCTCTCCTGGCTTCACTCTTCCAAGTAAATGAGACAGTGGTATGGCCACTGTGACCCACTGTTTGTGGTGACAAGAGGGTGGCCACTGTGCCTCGCTGTACGTGGTGCTTTGCTGAATCTGTGGGGAGATGGAGAGGCCTTGGGAACAGAGGACCACAGCAAAGGAGGAGGCAGTGAAGGCAGGGGAATAAGAGCTGTCTGAGGACATGCTCGAGCCCTGGCTTGGCAAGGTGGTGGGTCACAGGATGGGGCACTGGTGACTGAGCTGGGTACCGCCTCACCATCAAGGAACGAGAGCAGGCTTGTAGCACCAGCTCTTGGCCATGCTGAGACGCTCCTGATGTCATGGCCTCACCCCAATGCACACCAAGCACAGAGTAAGTGTATGGCCAGAGCAGAGTCACAGCATGCCAATAGCCCAGGGGCCTCACATGGGAACCCCGAGGCTGCCCTGTGTGACCCACTCACCTTTGAAGGTAAGGAAGGGTTTTTCGAGAATGGGTCTGAGGTAAATGGGTCATTTTTTGTCTGTTTCTTGAAGAACTCATCAGAGCTGGAGCCACGGAACGGGTCGCTTTCTTTGAAAGGGTCCCCTCCAAATGGGTCTAGAAAGAGAGGGAACATTGGTGACTAATGACATCACAGAACCCACAGAAGGTGACCCAAGGCAGCAGGCACCATGCATGGGCTTAGGATGAGGCACACACTGGGGACTGAGTAGTCAGTTGCCCAGCGAGTCAGGTGGAGAACCTTTCTGGTGAAGGATTATTCTCCAGTCTCACACAACTCTACACATCTGCCAAGGTTGTCTTGGAACAGCAAGATGGCTCAGCAGGAATAAGAGCTTGCTGCCAAGCCTGAAAACCTGAGTCTGATCCCCAGGACTGACATGGTGAGAGGAGAGAACCGACTCTTCCAAGCTGTCCTCTGACCTCCACACCTGCACTGTGGCACACATGCACATGAGCGTGCATGCATGCATGCATACACACACACATATACACATACACACACACACAATTAATAAATAGTAAGATTTTTTAAAAATTTTTATTTATTTTTATTTTATGTGTATGCATGTATTGCCTGCATGTAGGTAAGTATACCCGTGTCGTGCAATGCCCGAGGAGGTCAGAAGATGCTGTCAGATGCTCGGACTGGAGTTACAAACAGTTGTTAGCTGCCGTGTGGGTGGCTGGGCTTCGAACCCAGGTCTTCTGCAGAAACAACCAATGTTCTTAACCCCTGAGCCATCTCTCCAGCCCCTTTCTTTTTTTCCAAAAGAAAACTTTATTATTTTTATTTTATGTGTATGAGTGTATTGACTGTGTATGTGTAAGTGCACCCATATTGTACAATGCCCATGGAGGTCAGAAGAGGGCACTGGATTCCCCTGGAACTGAGTTACAGACAGTTGTTAGCCGCCATGTGGGTGCTGGTATTTGAACCCAGGTCCTCTGCAAGAACAGACAGTGCTCTTAACTGCTGAATCATCTCTCCAGTCCTTAAATGGTGAATTTTAACTCCAGCACTAGGGAGGCAGAGGTAGGAGGAGCTCTGAGAGTTCCAGGCCAGCCTGGTCTACATTGAGAGTTCCTGGCCAGTGAGGACTACACAGTGTATAGGGTACCTAGCTCAAAAATAATAAAGGAAGAGCAAGGAGGACACCATCCACCTATGAGCTCGGCCCTGGAGAGACTGAAGCAGGAGAATTGCTTGAGCCTAGGAGCTTGCGACTAGCCAAGGCAATGTAATGGGACACTGGCTCAGGGAATACAGAAGGGACCAAGACATTAGGCTCACATGATCCATGATGGTTGTCTTTTCTGCGACATTATCGGTAGTTCCTGACATGACTGGTTGGAGGTCCCTCCATGTATGCTGTGGTATTAAGCCAAACACCTGGACACAGGCAACTTACCACACAAGTGTCCCTGCTCCCCAAAGGAACTAGGTCTAGAGATACTCTAAGCAGTGTCAGAGACACACAGAAACTAGCCTTTACCTGCAGCAGCCGTCTGCTGCTCTGCGAAGGGGTCACTCTGGAATGGGTCACCTGGAGCAGAACAGAGAGAGACATTGCGTTAGGTGCAGGTGATCTGGGGAAGTGGTCTCCTGCATGGTTTAGGAAAGAGTGATTCCCTCCTTACCCTGCCTCTAGAAACACTTTGTGTGAAAGCTGCAGAGCTGCAGCCTAGGGCCAGTGCTGTTTTCTAGCTATATTTAGGATGAACCGGAATGTCTGGTAGGTTGTGCGTCATGGACCAGACCTGGGAGGACTCTCTTTTCTTTCTCCGCCCTGGTTCCCTGCATCTCATTGCCTCCCTCTTCAGTAAGAGGGCAGGGATGCCAGAGGCTGTCCTGGTCATGTCACCATGACCTGGGATGATGCCAAGGTTGCCTGATCTGTCTCTTCAACCTAAGATATTGCAACCCAAACCTGAAAGCCAAAGGGAGCTCCCACCAGTCTTGTCCCTGGCTGGGAGCCATGCTGAAGAATGTACAGCCAGGGTTAGGTGTGGTGGTCACACCTATCAACCCAACACCAGGGACTCTGAGGCAGGAGGAAGAAGTTCAAAGCTAGTCTATACTCACAAAACTAGAAACACCAAAAAACATAATGTCTAGTCAGCCCTCCCCAAGTATTGCAGGGCTCTGTGAAACTTGGGGAAGCCTGGAGTCCTAGCTTCTGTTTGTCTCAAGGAGTCTCAGCTCATAGATGACCCTGGGTTAACTCCACTTGTGAGAGAAAGATTTAGGTATGGGCCCTATCTGATCATGAGACTGACTGGGGAGGAAGCGAGGAAGAAGGTGCCAGCCTGTTGAGGGCTTAGGAACATATCATGGAGGGTCAAGTGGGCCAGCTCCCAAATGCGGCAGCATGCTGGAAGCCCGAAACCCTTCCAAGATTCCCTCCTCCACGTTCTGACCCTCACACCTTAGCTCTTTAGTTACCAGGGGGAGAAGCGTGAGAGACTCATCATGTCTGTTCCCCTCCATCTTAAGCTGCTGTTTCCTGGTTTCCCCAGGCATCTGACAGTTCTAAGGAGCATAACCAACACAATCTTGGGGCTGGAGAGACAGCACAGCTGTTAAGTGCCCTTGCTGTTCTTGCAGGGGATCTGAGTTCAGTCCCCAGCACCCACATCATGTGGCGCATAAGCACCTGTAACTCTAGCTCTAGGGAATTCGACACCTTCTTCTGGACTGTACAGGCACTGCACTCACAAGCACATATCCACAAGCAGACAAACGTAATTAAAAATAAATCTTAAGAAACAGTTATTCCATCGGGAAGTGGGCTCAGGGGTACCTTTGAAGGGGTCAGCTCCTTTAAATGGGTCAGACTTGAAGGGGTCCTCTGCCTGGAAGGGGTCCGGATGTAGTTCTTGGGAGGTGTTGCTAAATAACAAGGCCTTGTTTTTGAAAGGATCATCCTAGGATGGGTAAAGAAACATGACAGACACTGAGTTATTTCTGATTTAAGCAAAGTACAGGATTCCACACTGAACTCACATCTGCAGTTGACAAGATGTGGTAAAAAAGGACTATGCTGCAGAAGAGTCACTGAAGTGGAGACAGGTTAACTACAGCCCTGGACTTTGGCTCATTCTCTGTGACAATAGTGGAAACTGGGTGTGCCACACATGGAAACTCTGCACCACAGCTTTGTAACTTCTCAGTAAATCTAAGTGTAAAATAAAGTCCTTGAGGGGAAATGGCCCAAATGTCCAACAGGTAAATGAATAAGCAGATGGGATCCACCCATCCATACAGTGCAACAGTATTCAGCCTTGAAGAGGAAGGACAGCCGGCCATAAGATGGAGGAGACTTGAGGACACATGCTAAGTGGAAGTCAGAGGCTGGTCACACTGTGCGATCTACTCACACCAGGGTCCCAGAGCTGCCACACTTCAGGGACACACAGTAAAATGATGGAAGCCAAGGACAGCGAGAATGGGAGTGAATGTAGAACAAGGAGATGGAAGCTGCCTGCTGCCAGCCCCAGTAAAAGTTGCCTGGCTTAAGGGCTGGGTAATGACCCTCATCATGGTTCCTACACCAAGAAACCAGTGAGCCGTTTCTGCCCAATGAGGAAATGGGACTCGGGTGGCACTGTGCAGTGGCAGCTGCTAAAGCATGCAGGGCACTTTGCATTTTTATAAAAAGCTGCTTATTTCTAGACACAGGCGAATGTATTCAAAGCAGCAGAAAAAAACATTTACTTTTGAAGGGTGCATTTTCGTAGAGGCAAACGGCCAGGGGTGGGGGTTACCTCTGCAAACAGCATATGGGCTTAGAAGTCAGGGTTCCCTTCTGCCTAAGACAGACATACCTGCAGTGAAAACAGGGCCATTGCATTGGGGAGGGGTTCTCCCTATAGCCCAGCACTCACTATGTAATCTAGGGTGGCCTTAGACTCACAGAGATCCACCTGCCTCTACCTTCTGAGTGCTGGGATCAAAGGCATGTACCACCATGCACAGCCGGTCTTTTTTCTTCAAAGCACAACTCTGTTCCTGACACAGATGCACCTTGGCCTGTCAAACTGAGTGCAACCAAGTCATTGTGAAGCAAGTGCATCTGTGAAAGTAGACAAGGGTTTGAAGAAATGGCACGAGCAGTCCAAAAGGACACTTTTTGTAATAAGGCTGCCTCTGCCTGGGGGCAGTTAGCAAGGGCAGAAGGAGGAGCTGGGCTAAGAGGACATCACCCCAGCTCCTGGGAGACTGAGGCAGGGGGATCAGTAGTTTACAGGCCAGCCTGGCTACACAGCAAGATTCTCTCAAGAAACAAAGAAACAAAAATAAAAAAGCAGCAGCAGCCAGCAATGCAGGCTGTGACAGGAAAAAAAGCAGGAGGGCTAGTCTCTTACCTGGGACCGATTCCTTGGAGCCTCTGGGCACAGGCCTTCCTGGGGAAGCCAGGCCGGGTCCTCAGGCAAGTTAAACACAGATGTGCCCAAACACAGCATCTGCTGATGGTGCCGGGCTCCCTGTAGATGCCAGGGTGCTGCTGACCCTGAGATGCATACACCCCAAAACCAGCCGCTGGGGTTCAGGGACAGAGAGATGCTGGTGGGAGGTCCTGATATAGGAAGCCTGTGGGCTGGGGTGGGAGAGACTTCTTGTGCCATGGCATGGACAAAGGATGGATGTGTGGCTGCTGGGGTTTAAGTTCACAGAGAAATGCTGCGAAGTCCTAACCTAGGAACCTACAAGCCAGGGGGTAGACCTCTTGTGCTACACTGTGGGTTCTTACCCACAGTAAACTGCACTCCCACAAGACAGAGGGATGAGAGAAGAGGACCCAGATAAGCTACAGCCTTAGCCACAATGGCTGGGCCTCAGGGAGGAAGCGTTTAGTTTTGATGTACCATTTACTAACAGGTCAGTTTACTTAGGATCAAAGAATGGATGACGGTGAATTGATGGCTTTCAATGGTACAAGGAGACTGGGAACCTGGGCTGCCACCTCTGCTTGGATGGCTGAGCCCATGACACACGGCCAGGAGGAATTACAGGCTGCTTGAGCAGCCACGGCTCCCTCCCCTTCAAAGGGGGCTCAGGAAGATGCAGAGCAGCTGGGTCTGGCTCAGTGTAAAGCCCTTGCTGAGCACGCCTGAGGCCCTAGCATCCAGCAAAGACACTACAGGTCTCACATCGTTAAAATGAGGAATGTGCCACTCAAGAGCTGAAAAAAAAATTTTTTTGCCTCCTACAAATGTTGTGAATGTAACCACCCACATTCAAAATGAACTGAGGGCATGTCACCCCGAGGAAGTGCAACAGGCAAATACAGGCCTATGCTACTTCCATGTAGGGGCCATCTTCTGCAAAACATACCAGTGGGTGACGTCCCTATGTGCACACCATCAGAGACATCTCGATGTCACCAGTAGATGCCATCTTCCTGGACCACTCAGTCATGTTCATGTGGTCTCTCGTTGATGGAGGTGTTATTATTATATACTACAACTACATTTGAGGTGAGTGTTAAGTCCCTTCGGAGAGGTGAAATATATTTGACTAATTTCACTTAATTACTAATTCTCAGTGCTGAGAAACCCAGGGTTTCACACATGCTGGGCAAGCTCTCCACTGCTGAGCCACCCTGGGTACTGAGATAAAAGTTTGGTAGCCAGTCCTAAGTGCCACCTTCTTCAGGACACAGACATAGCCCCGGAAAGGGAATCAAAGGCTCTGGGACACTGCTTCCTTTTAAAGGGCATTGGTGGAGCCTGTGCTGAGGCTCCTGCCATCTGCTCTGGTATAGAGAGACGCTCTATACCAGACCACAGCTGATTCCTCTCTGGGGGGTCCACTGACCTGTCTCAGCATGCTACAGGGCTGGAAGTGCCCGAGGACCTGACCTGTCACAAGTCCTCAGAGAGGCAAACTGGGATGCTGAGTGACTTTTTCTCTGCTGGCAGGGTACACAAGGGAGAGGCTCCCATCAGTCACAACCAGAGGAGAGATAATAAAAAAAATATGGCTTTAGCCAGGCGTGGTGGTGCACGCCTGTAGTCCCAGCATTTGGGAGGCAGAGGCAGGCGGATTTCTATGAGTTCAAGGCCAGCCTGGTCTACACAGTGAGTTCCAGGACAGCTTGGGCTACAGGGAGACCCTGTCTCAAAAAGACCAAAAAAGAAAAAAAATGGCTTTTGGTTGGGGCATTGGCTCAGTGCTGAGCACTTGTCTAACGAGGCCCTGGGTTCCACCCTCAGCACTGAAAACAAAAATTTATAACATAAATGAATATGGACTTAAGAATCCTTTGTCTCTCGGAAAAGTCACACCAGGTATGCTTAACACTCAGCTTAGTGATCTGAAGAGAACTGCCCATAGAAAGCTCTGGAAGCAACCACTCTGGTTGCACTGTTCTTCAGGAGCCTGCTCCCCTTGGAGACCTGATGGAACGCGCTCTGCTCTGGACAGTCCCCAGATGGAACACTAAACAAAGACCTTGCTTCAAAGTGTTTATTAAGAAATGGAAACAACCCCCCAAGATGGTTTTAAAGCTGTATTTGTACAACAAGATACAGTTTTCCCTTCAGACACCAGCTGTGAGTTTCTAGTAACATATTTGACATCCACATTGCACAAGTGACTATTGTTTGAACAGCCCATTTAAAAAAACGAACAAAAATAAGAAAAATAGAAAAAAGCTTTAGTGGTGGCAGTGGGGAATCACTTGCCACCAACACATCAGTTACTCCATTGCTAAGTTGTATTCAGTGATGTAGGTCTAACAAAAACTACAGGAGTGCCAGGCATGCTGGCCCACACCTTTAATCCCAGCACTCAGAGGCAGAGACAGGCAGATCTCTGTGACAGTGAGACCAGCCTCATCTACATACCAAGTTTTAAGCCAGCCAGGGCTAGAGAGTAAGAGCTTGTCTAAAAAGAAAACAAACAAACAAACAACAAAACAAAACAAAACAAAACACCACAGGATGTTAACGGGAGTACTTCCCTAGACCAGGACACAGGACCAGCTAGCTGTAAGGACTGGACAGGGATGAAGAACAGGCTTATGGCAGAAACACACACAAGGGACAAAGAGGCTATAGAGCAGGGAATTCCATGAGAATTCCATGGACCAGTGAAGCCAGAGGGCCACAGTGGGCAAGAAGCTACCTGTTAGCCAGTCCAAGAGTGAAGGGGACCTGAGGGCGGCCAGATTACAAGGGACAGGTGAGAGCACTAACAGCACCTTCTAAGCGGTGCAGGGGAGGCACAGGCTTCCCTGTGAGTTCTAAGAACTCAAGAAGATAAAGGATGAAGGGGGGGAGGCACAGGGGACTGTGCTTACAGTGCAAGGCATAGCCCTGGAAGGTGAATTTGCAGCAGGCAGTGCAACACTCCCAACACTAGAACCAGCTGGTCCCACCACACAGACATAGCGGGTTGGAGGCTCCCAACAATGGACACAGACAACCTGAAAGACTGTCACACCTGCTTGGGTGTCGGTGGCTCACAGGTGACCCAGGCCGGTTCCCATAAGCCTGGGAGCAATATCCTAAGGTCCTAAAGTAGCCACAGGAGAGTCCACTGCTAGCTGACATGCAGACTCACTGGAGGATGGAACCAAGGATCCTATGCATGTTTAGCAACGCTCACCAACAAGATGCGTCTCCAACCCGTTCTCTTTCATCTTTTGGATGCATCTGATTTTCAAGGGGCTCTCTACAGAAGGATACACATGCACTCCAGGTCCCCAACAGGAGTGTGGGGGCTTCTACAAGCATGGAACCAAATTGGTTTTGGTTATGTTGGCCAGGCCCTCTGCACTTAGATAACTGGCCCAAGAGAAGCCTTCTAAGGACATGGAGAACTCAGCCTCACTGGCTTCAGGGTGGCAGGGTAGAACTCGGTCACCTGGGTTCTGCAGGGTGCCATTAAAAACAAGGAGTAGCTGCTCACTGATGAGCCTGGCACACATGCGGATCCACAGCTGGAATAGACCCACATGGGCCAGGAAATGCTTATTCAACCTTTACCATGGCTCCAAAGCTGCCTCTTTCTGCCAGCAAGACACCTTCACTCAGGGCAGCCAAGTCAGGCAGGCTGGTGCTGGGGACCCCGTCAGGCAACTGGTCATACTGTTCTAGGCTCCGATGAGCTTCCAGGCGGCTCTCCTGCAGGTGTGACAGCTTGCTCCTTGCCTATAAAGACAAATACCATAGGCATCAAGGGCAGCTCTGGGTCAACCGGTAGACACCCTGCCCCAGAATTCACACACTGGTAAGGACTGGAGTACACAGACTATTGTCAGCAGCCAGGAAAGGCACTGCTGCTTCTCTGGAGGCTCTGCATCCCAGTACCTGAGAGGGACCTGCTACTCTGGAGGCTCTGTGTCCCAGTACCTGAGAGGGACCTGCGCTCACCCAAATGTCTGCCAATGCTCAATGAAATGTTAACTGATCCAGATCTAGATTCATAATCTCTTCAACTGAGTCAGCAGTCATGTTTCAGGCTGGGGCTATGAAGCCCTCCACTTGCTTCCCCTTGCTCCTACAAAGGACACGTGAAGCCCAGAAAGGGAGGGTGGTCAGTGTGTACCTCCACCTGGCCTTACTCGCTGTGCAACTCTGGGTCTGGTCTGGTTCCTCCTGTTCAAAGAGGAGCACTGGGAGTGATGGAAAGACATGTATGGAAATGCCATGATGAAACCTGCTGTGCATTAATATATACTGCTAGAAAAAAGACAAAAAGAGAAATGATAAGAAGGCCTGGTGTGGTAGCAAAATCCCTGCCATCCAGCACTCAGAAAGCTGGAGCAGGAAGGTCACAAGTTCAAGGGTGGCCTGAACTACAGGGCGAGACCCTGTCTCAAAAGAAACTAACAAACAAATAAAAACAAACAGAAAAGGAAATGATGGACAGAGGCCTGCTGCGGTGGCTGACAGGGCGGTGACACACATGGCAGCTAGTGGCGTCTACATGTGTCTTGGACCCATCTTGACTCAACAGGTTACTGAAAGTAACCCTACAGAAACTAAAGGACAAAATACAACATGGTTCATGAAGCCACTGGAGCGTGTTGGGGTGGGGAGAGCCTCATGGGCCTATCAGCCTGCAGACTGTAGACCAGCAGGCCACTTCAGTCCAGGGGTCATGTGGCTAGGTCATTTTCCTACTGGTCAGCATCATGCCATCTATGGCCTACCACCCAGAGCCTGTCAGGGGTTGGTGACCACCACATGCAGGAGGGCAGGGCAGGACCAGCACTTTCTCCTAACCATCTCATGAGGTTCTTGTAATCCTAACAGGGAGGGAGGCCAGGCATCTTGAGAGTCAGGAGGCACCCTGGGCCACAGTCTAGGAAGCCCTTAAACAGCTAATATCCCCAGCACTGCTGCCCCAGAGTACTCTGGGAGAGTTGCAGTGACAGTGCACACACAGTGGACCCCAGCTGCACTGAGTGCATGGCATCCCCATGGTGGCACCTGGTTGATCTCATCCTGTGTGGACTTCAAGGACTTGAGGATAGTCTCCAGCTGGGCACGACCAGCCTGGATGCTCTGCTCCAGTTGCGTCTCCTCCTGCTGCAGCCGGTTTAGCTCTGACTTGGCCCGGTTCAGGTCATCCTCCTGGGATTTTAAGTCAGATTCCTGAGACTGGATTTGGGTTTTCAGTGATGAGATCTGAGGAGAGAGGGCAAAAGGATTCACAAGACAGAGCACAGAAAAACGCATCAGAGTGCTCACCCTGTGTGAGCCTGAAGGGTGGCTCTGGAGAAGCAGAGCTAGGCTGGGAAGACGGCTCAGAAGGTGAAGGCGCTCGCCACCAAGCCTGATGACCCTCTGAGTTCCATCCCTAGGACTCAAATGGTGAAAGGGGAGGACCGATCCCCTAAGTTGTTCTCTGACTTCCACATTTGTGCACACCCCTAACAGATAGACAAATACATAAGGAAATAAAATAAAAAATAAAAATATGTAGAACAGGAGTGGGAGCACACACCTGTTACCCTGATGCTCGAGAGGCTGGTAGGTGGGTGGTGAGCTCCAGGCTAGCCTGGAACACACAATGAGACCCTGTTTCAAAATAAATTGAATACAAATGAAGGAACGAAAGAAGGATCCATAGTGCAGGATGGAACACTACTGAGAGTCTGTGTGCACATGCATTCAAGTGTGTCATGGTGTCTATGTGGAGACCAGAGGTCAGCCCTCCTTGTTGTTTGGCCCTCCTGTCTCCAGCTCCCATCTCCCAGCAGGGATGCTGGGGTTACAATGTTACATGTTCAGCTTTCGGCGGGAGGGAGGGGTGGTTGGGGATTCAAACACAGTTCCTCATGCTTTCATGGCCAGCACTTTCACCTACCGAGCTATCTCCAGCATCCTCTAAGACAGAGTTCTTATCTCCTACAAAGAGGCCCAGGGAAGAGGCCACCTAACCCTAGCTCATATGGCTGGCTTCCTCCAGTGCAATTCTTTCTACCCCAAATCTAAGACCAGATTGCAAAGGCAGGGACTGGGCCATGGCTCCATGGTAAGCACTTGCCTGGCATACACAGGCCCTGGTTCCATCCCCAGCAGTGCAAAACAAACAAGAACACTAGCTTTTCCCGTGTGGTGGACAACAGACCACTCAGGAATAGGGAGGAGCAAGGCACACGACAAGCGTGAGCTCGCTACCTGTCCCAGGCTGAAGTCTGCACACAACCACAGAAGGAACGTAAGGGCTCTGCAGTTACCTGGGCTATAGCCTCCAGTTTGTGACAAGCAGTGGGGACACTAGGAGGTAGAAGAGGCTCCTGGGTACTAATGTTGTATACCTCAGATGGGCCATTTACAGGTCAGGCCTCAAAGGCCTGGTTGCTTCCAACTCTACCAAACAAGCAGGATGTCATGCTGCAGGTAATGACTCAGAGAAACCCAGACATACCCGTCAACAGTGGGGAAACACCTTTCAACTATGGAGACTCACCACCTGAGTCTCATCCTGGCACTTCTGCCTCACATCACTCAGCATGTCCCGCAGTTTGGCCTTCTGCTGGTCCATCTCATCCAGGCGGTCCTGGGCGTCCTGTTTCTGAGCTTCAAGCTCCTGAAGACTGCTCGTTTCTCGGTCCAGGTTGTTCTGTAGTTCCTAGGGAGACAGGTAGGCACTGGTAATGAGGCCAGAACAAGATTAAATGACTAGAAACAGTGCTGGGCTAGACTCTGCAGTAGACCATGTATGGGCCCTTGGGTTCATCCCCAGTACCTGCCAAGCATGCCTGGGGTCCCCCAATTTCCTTCCCGTCACTGCTGAGAACCTAAGAGGCCCTGGGTTCCACTCATGGTGCTTTCCCAGGATGTGTACAAGACCCTGGGTTCTGTTCTGGCTCTGCTAGACACATTTTCCTTGAGTTGCATCCCAGGCCAGCTGAGCATGTGCAAGTCCCCAGGTCCTCTCCCCAGCGCCTTTGAGTGCACTTCAGGCCCTGGGGTCTGTCCCAGAATCTGCTGGCACACATGGGCAACTGGGAGGACTACTGATGTTACCAAACATCCATTGCAGCACCACCAAGAGACCCATCACTTTTGAGCAAAGCTCAAGATACTTGTGCTAACACTTACACAGCCCCTACATTTAATACAAAGCAGCTGAAGCCTTACCTGTACTTCAGTGGTTTTCTGTCTGATCGCCTCTTCCTTCTCTCTGATGTCTTGCTCCAGTGAGTACTTTTCTCTGAAGGTTTAAAGGCATTTCATGAAAACAGTCAGTCGGGTGACAATGTCATGGCATAAAACTGCCCGACTTCTTGGGCCTAATTCCAGGGTTCCCATTCAGAGCCTTCTAGCTCCTGTGTCTGGATGTGGATTGAGAATGTTCCACAAAGGTTCGTGTGTGGGAAACTTGGTCTGCAGTGCTGGAGTGAAGTGGGATGGTCAGAGCAAGGCAATTCAGTCATGGACCAGCTACTTTTGGAAAAATTAACATAGTTCTCTCAGGAGCCTGGTAAGTTCCAGATCTAGCCAGAGTCCCTGGAGCTTGTCACGTGATTGGTCTTCCAAATGAGCTAAACAAACTCCTTTTCTTTCTACATTACCCAGTCTCAGGGATTTTTGTTACAGCAACACTAAATAGGCTAACACAACAATCTCCCCTTGGGCCTTACAAACACAAGCCCTCCCTCCCAAAGCCACCTCTGTCTAGAAGCAGAGCACTGTCTCCACCTGGTGGCCAAAGAGGAAAGTGAAGCTATCCTAGGCATGACAAAGACCTCCCTTGCTGATGAAGGAACAGGGGTGGTATCCAAAGGCAGTGAGGAGCCCCCAGCTGACAACCAGTGAGGAACAGAGAGCTGGGACCCATAGTAGCAAGGACCTGGCACGTCCCCAATATGCAGGCACGCACCTCGTCCTCACGTTCCAAATGCCCCGGACAGCCTGCTTCAGGAGACTGAACCTCCACCTATAGAACTGTGGAGTAATTTATTTATGCCACAAGAACTGCTCCATTTCTGTGACTTTTATCCCACTGGAAGAGCCCCCTGCCCATCCCACACCTGCTCACCTATGACTGAGCCTGACACTCAGGAGTAGCCCATGACCCACTCAACAGGTCAATGGGAACGCTGGTGATAAAGAACTGCAGAAGGTGCCACCTGGGGCACCAGGAAGGAGCAAGGTAAAAGGCTGTCCTGCATAAGAGCCTGGGAAGGACTCTGAGGGAAGATGTGGGACTGAGCAAATATGGTGGAAGATGGTTCTAGAGGAAAGGAACAGCAAGGCAAAGCTGGGCTGGGGAAGCTAGGGGAAGAGGTGGAGTGATGCAGAATGAAGTGGCAGCTCCCAGTCTGCGAAGTCCCCAGCCTGTGGAGTCCCCAGCCTGCGGAGTCCTGTGGCAGACCAGTGAGGTCGCCTGGCCCCTGTGCCCACTCTAGCTGCTCTGTAGTAGGCGGTGTGGAGGTAGCCCACTGTGAATGCCAGGCACTCAGGACCCAGGCTGTTTCCTTGGATGCAGGCCAGTTCCCGTACTAGTGTCTCTCCTTGTCCCTGGTGTCTGTGGCCATCTCTGTCTGCAGGGCCAGTGCAAGTAGCTGTTTGGCCACAACCCACCTAAGCCCCCCCCGCCCCCACAGGCTCTGGCTCAAACTGAAGCCAGTATGAGGATCAAATCCCTCCCCTCTGTCTAAGAGGTCTCGATGATGTTCAAGCCCACTGTGTCCAGCAACTGGCCAGGATGAGGGCAGAGTGCTGGCCACACTTCATACCTCTGTAGCTGGGCAATCTCCTGGCTGATGTCATCTAGCTCCTTCACTCCAGTGAACTCGCCTGAGCCAAGAGCACTAGAACTGTCCTAGGATCAAAGTCAGGCATGAAATCACCAAGGGCCAAGCCACATCTCCATACAGCAGGTATAGGCCTGGGGCCCAGAGGACAAAAGTGCTGGCTGCTGTCCTGAGAATACACAAAGGTGAGTGAGCACCCAGATCCCCCATCCCCCAGGCCTACTGGGCATCACGGCTTGGACTGCGGGGCTCTTGGGCACCAGCACAAGTGCCACAAACAGAAGCAGAGAGTCTGGATACTCACCGGGACAGGAGTGCCTCTTTCTGAGGGCGGCACCATGTCGGGTGAGAGGACTTGTGGAGGGTCGATGCCTTTACTGACCTTCTGCTGAATGAAATACATAGCTAACGCGAATTGGTCTTTGCTTAACTTCCCCGTTTGCCTCGTATCGGCCAGGGCCCTGGGAGAGACGTGGGACGCCATTACACACCATGGATGGGGTTCCAGCCAGCACCAAGTCAGCCCCACTTTCACCAAACCCATCGGGACCACAGAAGGCCCTTTCTGCACTGGGCACCATAGGTGCCACCTCTGATGTCACCATCAGTGACAGGTGAGGACCTGAGGCTGCTCACTGGTGGGCTGTGTGTGAGCAGGGCTCAAGTTGACAGAACACAAAAGTGCTCCCTTTCAGGAAGGCCCCAGCAGCCTGCAAGGGAAAGGCTTTCATCTTGTTCCTGGAGCCTCAACGCAGGTGCCCAGCACAGACCAACACCCCTGGGCAGAGAGGGCATCAGGTGTCGTCTAGCCTGCAATTCTGGAGGCTGCGCAGCCTGGAAGACTGGCCCACTGGTTTCCCGTGAGGATTCTGATCAGCAACGCTTCTTTTCATGCTGTGGTCTATAGCCCCTAAAACTCCCAATTGGGTGGTGCTAGGGGTGGGCCTTTGGGAGTGAGGGGACTTGAGCCTTATCAAAGGGACCTTGGGCTCTCTCCATGCCTGTCGGGCAGCAATATGAGAAGATGGGGTTTTTGTAAACCAAAACATAGGCCCTGACCAGATACCACAGACTATGACAAGACATCACAGGTCCTAACTAGATGCTGTTTGGCTAGTTCCATGGTCAGAAACTCGCATGCGCTAAACCTGCCTCTTGGGCCCACAGAGGCTACTTAGGGGTACGGCTGTCAGGCACAGAGCAGTTTCTTTCAAGTAGTATGTCCCACACTATTGAAGACAGGGTCTTGCTATGTAGCCCAGGCTGGCCTGCAGCTCCTGCTCCTCCTGCCTCATTCAAGGCCTTCTGGTCCTTTCAAACGTGGGCAGTGAATAGCAGCATGCGGTGGCCCTGTACAGCCAGAGCAGAGGCTCCAGAACACTCACTGGAACAGAGCAGGGCATAAAGCTCTGGAGGCCTTGAGACATGTCTCCCTGTCATGCCACGTGCTTCTCCTGAAGCTGCCTTCTGCCTCCTGGTTTTAGGCACGCCAGACTCCAGTTCAGATGCTGGCAATGAGCAGTCCTGTGAGCACAGACCCTTAGGAGGGTCACTGATCAGGGCTGTGGTCAGATGGAGTGGGGTGCAATGCTTTCGTGTGTCCATACCCTGTGCTATAGCTACTGCAGAGCATCCATGAAGAGCAAACATGGGCTGTCTGCAGTCATCCACATCACCAGGAGTCCAGTACCATGAGTCTGACACCACTGCACAACAGGCAGACCCTGCATGTCTCCTCCACACCACTGCTCCCCTCTTGGCACTGAGGTCGCCACGCACAGTGGCCTTAACTGGGTTCATTCTTTCACTTGCCCACCCCACAAGAAATGGGTTTCACTTCCCTTCTTTCTTCAGTTTGATGGGGGTAGGAGGGGGAAGCTACAGGGTTAGAACCCATGCTGGATGAGGTTTTTCAGTGGTGTGTGGCTGCTTTGGGGTCACACATGCTCTGTAAGTGAGCACAAAAAACCTGTTCCCTACACTGGGCTTTGGTGGAATCCTACTTGAAATTGTTGTTGGTGCCCTGTCTTGAGGTGGGGGAGACACCTGTCACATCCCCACAGAAAAAGGTCCACACAACACTGAGGTACAGACAAGGATTTGGCCACCTGCCTGTCACTCTGCTGGAAACAGGGTGCTACTCTTCCAAGCAGAGTCTCTGCGGAATACCCAGGCTAGTACCACTGGAGCCCACACAAAGGGATTCCTCAAGTTGCGACAAGTGCCTGTCACACAGCAGCTGAGGCAAAGTCTGGCCTCCTGTGCTAGAGCTAGTTAGAGCACTTTAGGACCGCCAGGCAAGGGCTAACTCCCAGGAAGCAGGGGCTTCGCCCTTCCTCACTTGGACAAGACCTGCAGTAGGTGGGTAGGAGACCTTGAGCCCCACCCTCCTCTTTGTCTCCCCATCTGAGCCACCTCCATTGTGGCTTCCATCCTTACCAGATGTGTGCCAGCAGGTTCTGAGTAAGGCCTGAGCGCATGAAGACCTCCCTCACCTCCTGGCCACTCACATAACCATCCAGGTCCAGGTCAGTCTTCAGGAAGATCTCATCAAACCGCATCTTGTCTGCCACCGGCACCACCCAGGCCACTGGTGGCTGAAACAATCACAACAGTTAACTGGAAGCTGTTCATGAGAAGTGAGCCCCAAGCCAGACCCCTCAGCTCCTCTGTTTACTGAAAGCATCTCTGAGAGCCACCATGATGCGGGGGACCTGGCCCCACTCTGGCCTCCTTCAGGTACCAGCACAACTGTGTTCCTGATAGGTGACAGGTAGCTGTGCAGGCCCTTTCAGAGGCCCCAGCACATCAGAGGGCCCCTAGCCTGAGGCTAACAGCCTGGTGCGGTAAGGTGCCCACAGCTCTGGGGTTAGGTCCTGCTGCCTGCTCCCACTGCCTGCTCAAGTTTCACTGAAGAAAAAAAGCAACTAGCACTGTGGGCCCCACCACGGCAGCCTCTTCAAAACCCAGGCCCCCAGAACTCTTGAGCACAGCTCTTACACGCAGCTCTTCCCACAACTGATGGATAGGATGGTCACCTGGTGTCTCCAACCGGCTCACCGCAGCAAGGCTCACAGTGTCTGCATCCTTGATTCTACAGACATTTGTCTCATCCAGTTTCCACTGTTTTTTTTTTTTCAGTACAATCATTGCTCAGATCTGATGAAGCAGGAGGGGCAGGAGGATCAGGAGTTCTAGGCCAGCTAGTACTACATATAGTGAGACCTTGACTTCAATGGGCACAGGGCACATTATCAGCAAAGGATTGACCTGTGCTGTGCAGCCATGCCCCACAGCCTCTTTGAGCCCAAGAGTCATGTTCAGTACTGGCTACTGAACCCTAATAAAGACATTAAAACTTGTGATGCCTGTGCTCTCATCTATGCAACAATGTAGTATCTTCACAGAGCTTGTGTCTGTCCTCCCAAACACATTCCCCACATTCACATGACTCAGAATGCCTGACTCAATGCCAAGGCTGTGTGTCTGGCCTGACTGCTTTTGTCTTACCAAGTGAGGCCCTCTGAAATGTTATCACAGGACAGCCTTCACCTTCATCTTTGACTTCTCAGCCTTCAGGCAGTGAGTTACAGCCCTCTGGGTTTTTTGGGTTTTTTTTTTTGTCTTTTTGAGACAGGGTCTCCCCGTAGCCCCAGCTATCCAGGAACTCACTATGTAGACCAGGCTGGCCTTGAACTCACAAAAATCCGCCTGCCTCTGCCTCCCAAGTGCCAGGACTAAAGGCGTGTGCCACCATACCCGGCTCAGCCCTCTGTTCTTTATAAATGACCTGGCCTGTGAGATTCAGTTATAGCAACAGAACCCAGCCTAAGAAACTCCCTTTATGTCAACGGGCTACAACAAGCTATCAGAAGCCAGAGACCCCAGAGAAGAAGTGGCAGGAATCAATTGAGCTGAGTGGATGAGGTAGAAGGTATCTGGGTAGACAATCCTGAGAAATTAAATTTCTGGGAAGGCAAAAGTCCCATTTGCTGTGCCAATAAAATGAACTGAGCCTTACCATGTGACCCAGGTTACAAGGGCACAGAACCATGTGCTGGGGCCTAAGGGTGAACATGACTGTGGGGTCCTAGGCAACACTCATTTTCACAACCAGACTCCCTGTCCTTGGGGGAAGAGGGGCTACTGGTAACATGGGTCTGGGGAGAGCCTGGAGATAAGTGGGGGGAGTCTGAGGTTGGCAGGCTTCACTTGCGTTCCAGCCAGTTATACACCTACTCCACCCACCACCCACTTCACTACAGCTTTCTCCTGCAAGGCCTCTGCTAAGAGATGGTTGGGTAGCTGTCCTAGAAAACAATAGCTGTGCAAGGATGAGCCCAGCCTTGGCCATCTCTGATCCCACCCGCCCTTCCTGTTTTAGAATATACCAAGTATTCCCACTCAGGGCCCAGCCATCGCTGGTCCTTCTAATGGCTTCTTGTCATTTCAGCTCAGGTATCACCTCACTGGTGACCTTCCAGTCGGCTCCTTTGTAGGAAGCCCCATCCCGTCCCTGGAACGTCCAGGCTGGGTTCTGTCTGGCTCTGCCACCCCTGACTGTTGGGTCTCCCTCAGTTAACTGATCTGCTTACTGTACACAACTCGGTGAGAACAGGGAACGGGGGCTGTTGTGTAGCAGCACCCTGGAGACACTCTTGAGCATGGCTGGGGAGGGCGAGAAGATACCAGTATTGAAGGAGCTGAGAACGTGGCTCAGGAGTAGAGCCCTTGCCTAGAATCCCCCAGTGAGTGGCCAGGGGCATGACTAAATGGCAGAATGCCTGCCTGGCCTGTGCAAGACCCTGGGTTCCATTCCCAGCATCTCATGTGCATTTGTATACACTCACATGGAATAATAATAAAGAAAAAAAGGTAACAGTGGGCCGTCAGAACATGGCGAGCTAACAGTCAGCCAGGGGAAGCTCACAGAGTGGAGGTTAATACCCTGCCCTGCCTCCCATCTGACCTGAAGTGGCCACAGAAGCTGAGGGCACTAAGCTACCCCAAGACATCAGCCTCCCCGCTCCCAATGACCTCTTTAAATTGTAGGGACAGCACCGTGTCCTACAAGTTCCCTGGAAATGAGCCTCCTGAACTGAATGCTAAACTTTCCACCTAGGTCAAGGGCAAGCACAAACCATCTAGACCTACCTTTCTTGCTGTCATTGCCACTATCCTTGTTCTAATATGAGTGGGGTGCTGACCAGCCTGCTCACCTGCCATAGTTTACCTTCAAAACCACATGAGAGAGCCAGTGAGATGGCTCAGAGGGGCAAGTCTCCTGATGCCAGGCCTAATGACCTGAGTTCCATCCCTAGCACTCACATGGGGGAAGAAGGGAACCAATTCCCTCAAGTTGTCCTCTGACCTCCACACACCTCCTGTGGTATGCACACACGATAAATCCAAATACACCATACACAAACCTCACAAAAGCAGCTGGCAGCGATATGGTTTTGCCTGAAACTGGCCTCCCCATCTCACACCTTTAGGTCATATGGTAGGGGCTGCTGCAAAGTCCCAGGGATACTGTAATCCCCCCTGTAGCCCAGGTTGAATTACAGGTGTGCACTACAAAGCCTGGCTGGAGGCTTGTCTTGAGAGGAGCTCACTATGCACCCAGGCCCAATGATGCTCCTGCCTCAGCTTCCTGAGTAGCTGGAACCACGGACAGCAGCACTCTGCCTGGCTGGAAGAGTCTGTTCTGATGTGCAACAGTCACCCCCCATGTTTACTATCCACCCAACAGTTCTGCTCTAACAGAAATATGTTATACTATGCCTACACAAAGGCCTGTGGTATTCTCCTGTCATCACTGTTCAAGCATCAAACTAATGTATCTGGGACTGTGTGTCAGAATGCTTGGTTTTAACAACTGCGATTCCAACTGCTATCTTGAGTTTCATTTTTAAAAAAAATCATTAAACAAGGAGCTAGAGAGATGGCTCAGCGGTTCAAAGCATGTACCACTCATGCACAGGACTGGGGTTTAGTTCCCAGCACCCACACTGCATATCACAACTGCCTGTAACCTCAGTTCCAGGGGATCAGATGTCTCTTTTGGCCTCCATAGGCTCCTGCATGTACATGGTGCACATAAACTCAGGCACACACATACGCAGAAAAATAATATAAAAATAATAAATCTGTTAAAAAAAAAAACTCATTAAATGAAGGGCTAGAGAGAAGGCTCAGCAGTTAAGAGCACTTGCTATGTAATTGTGAGGACCAGCATTTGGATCCCAGCACTCATATTAACCTGCAAGGTATACTGGGTGAGGGGTCCAATGCCTCTTCTGGCTTCTGTATGTACAGGAAGATGTACATTTGCACAAGTGTGCATATGTTCACACATACAAATAAAAAATAAATTTTAGGAGCTGGGGAGATGGCTCAGCGGTTAAGAACCACTGGTTGTTCCTGCAGAAGGCCCAGGTTCGAATCTCAGCACCCACAGAGCAGCTAACAACTCTCTGTAACTCCAGTCCCAGGGGATCCAACAGCCTCTTCTGACCTCCTGGGGCACTGCACTACACAGGTGCACTCATCTACATGCAGGCAATACACGCATACACACACACAAAAAAAATAAAAATAATGAAATAAAATTAAAAAAAAATTTTTATAAACAAAATTATTAAATATATTTTGGCTTGGGATAAAGGCAGAATTTCCAAATAATTTGTCTGTGTGTTTATACATTCTCATGTGTGCATGTGTGTCTGTGTGCACCCACGTATATGCATATGCATGTAGCAGCCAGAGGTTGATGCTGGGTGTCCTCATCAATCACTTGCCACCTTTTTAATTTTTACTTTGTTTTTTTCTGAGGCAGGGTCTCCCTGTAGCCCCAGCTGGCCTGGAACTTGTTATGTAGACCAGGCTGGATCTCATAGAGATCTGCCTGCCTCCTCTAACTCTAGCACTACCTACATGCTGCAGTTAGAAGTGAGTACTGCTATGCCTAACTTCACATGGGTGCTGGGGAACCAAACTCACATCCTCCTGCTTGCATGGAAAGCACTTTGGGCCTCAGCTATCTCTTCAGCGCCCCCGCCCAACAGTTTCTGGAATGCTTCTACCATTCCGTACAACATATGCATTCTCAGCACTTCAACTCTAAAGTCAAGATGGTGACCAACCCTGAGAAGTGCTGAGGAGGCCCAACTGGTAGTCCTGTAGTATCAAGTCCTTTTATATATATAGATTTTATTTGTTATTTCTAGTTTATGTGCATGAGTGTATTGCCCGCATGTATGTGAGTGCACCTGTGTCGTGCAATGCTGTGGAAGTCAGAAGAGGGCGTCGTAGTCCCCTGGAACTGGAGTTAAGGACGGTTCGTAGCCGCCATGTGGGTGCTGGGAATCGAACCCAGGTCCTCTGCAAGAGCGGTCAGTGCTCTTAACCACTGAGCCGTCTCTCCAGCCCGAGTATCAAGTCTTTATGCAAAAGCAACAAACACATTCACCTCATTAGCATGCAAATGTGCTGGCACCTTTAATAAACAGTAAAATTATATACCAAAGAAGTTATTTTAAACTAATGTGGCGTGGTTTACTATCCACACATGCCTTGTTTGTACACATCTTGTACCTCTAAAGCTGGAGTCACAGGACACTTTCTCAGTTGGAAGGGGTCGTGAGTTTAAGCCCTGCTCCAGTGATTGTGGACTCGGGAGGAAGTCAATGTGCCAAAAATGGCTGTGCTAAATGGAAAGTGATGAGAGGAGAGCCCGTGCCTGTTAACTATTTCACATAACCATGTGATATGTGCACACACACTTCATTTACAGAGGTGGGGTCGCTCACCACACCAGCAAGCTTGCCTAAGGGACTCCTGCCAGCCACCACGTCTGTACAGCACTGACACACGGGCTAGGATCTCCACTCCTCACACTTGCGAAGGCAGCATATCTCCCCAGGCCCCAGAGGCCCATAGTGTGCTGTCGTGGGCAGGGCACTGCCTCCACAAGGCCCCACTGAACCATCTAACATGCATTTAGTCTCTTGAGTCAGATTTTTTTAAACTCTGAATTTATAACCAAGAACTGAAATGGGGTAGGGACAGACAATGCACCAGCAACTACAGTGGACTGGGGAAGGGCTGGGTGTGATGGCTATCAAAGAAGGTCATGCCACAGGACAGACATCAGGACCAAGCTGGGTAACATGGATTCACTGTGGTGGGTGGGGACAGAAACCGGCAGGGGAGGAAGGGCTTGGGGTCCAGAACTAAGCAGAGGCTTGCCGCTGGGCAGAGATGTGAGGAGGGCACCCAGGGATGGGGGTGCTTGAAAAAGTGTACTACAGTCATCCCACCATGTCCATGGGTTCCATACCCGCTGATTCCACCACCACAGGACAAAAGTACTCAGGAAAAAGTGCTGCCAGACACATGCCTGTCATCCCAGACTCAAGAGGCCAAAGCAGGAAAGTGGAGCATTCCAGGCCAGCCTGGGTTACATAGCAGGCTACTGTCTCAAAGCAAAAAGAGGCAAAATTCCTACACCTGTGCTGAACACTGACAGGTATCCTTCATGTATCAAGTCACTGTGTAGCAATCACATAGGCAGCAGTCTCTAGCACCAAGAGATGATAGAGGAGGTAGCATCTGCTAACAGGCACTGAAGCCACCTAGAGACAATGCAAGCCAGCCTTAAAGAGTGTTGGCTGCATAATCATGAGGACAGGCATTCAGATCCCATGTAACAAGCAGGGCACCCTGTAAATGCCTGCAACTCCAGCTCTGAGGGGACCAGAGACGGCTGGGGCTGGCTGACTGCTAGCCTAGCTTAGAAAATGAGAGTCCCAGGTTCAGGGAGAGACCCCAGCTCAAAGGAACATAGGGAGCATGATAGAGGACACACACATCTGGCCTACACATACACCAGGTACACATGCACACACACACAAAAACACTAATAAATGGGCACATAGGGAGATGTACACAGAGTGTGTGCAAATACTGCATTCCTTCATGTGAGGACTCAGGCATGAAGAGCACTGATATCCTGGGGGTTGTAAAACTCATGTCCTGTAGATACCAAGGGGCAGCTTCATTTATGTGCAAGCAAAGAAGAAAGTTAATTCTGAATCCCTCTAGTAAACTGCTTAAAGCATCTGATAAGCTCTTGTGGCTGTGGAGAACCAATGCAGAACCCTGGGAGTATTGTGGTCACAGTCCCTACCTGAGCCTGCTTGACGCTGTGTTTGGGGGACAGGCTGCCCGTGCTGTTTAGACTGCTGACACTGCCGTGCGATGGCGTGGAGCGGAGGCTGTCTTTAGGTGGGGGGCTGGCGGGCAGGACAGGCACAGCACCCGGAAACACGGTTTTTTTCCTCTTGGAGGGCGGGATGAGGGACAGGGGCAGGACAGAGGGCACTGGCTCCTTCTCCAGGGCGCGGTACACCAAGTGCATGGCCTACAGGTGCCAACAGAAGAAAGGCTGCTGAGGATGGGGGCACAGAGCAGGAGAGGGCCCACGCAGCTTTGGAGGTTCACGGGGACCCCATGGAGCTGAGAAAGCTGCAAAGTGAACAAGGCAGTCTTGTCTGCTGTGCGTCCTCCTTGTCCACTTCCTAGGACACGCTTAATTCCAGTGGGGCAAGTGAGCACAGAGGCCATCAGCCTCCTCCAAGACTCTCTTCTGAGGACTCATTTCCAAGACTCACCTGTGGTCTGAAAATGTTCCATGGAAAATTCCAGGAAGAGAGACCCCACAGCTTCTATTCAAGTACATTGTTACAATGTTTCATTGCGACAGGTGTCTCACATTTCACAGGCTGACCTCTAACCCACTATGTGCTTGAGGATGACCTTGAACTTCCATCCTCCTACCTCCACCCAAGAACTTGGGTGATACCTGGTTTACGCAGAGCAGGGGAAGGAACCCAGGGCTTTGTGCATGCTACAGCCCAAGCCTTTGCTGCAGTTATTTTATTATTGCTGTTAGCAAACTCTCACTGTGCTCATTTAAAGGCCCCACTGTATTGCCGTTGAGAGTGGAGGAAAGAACCTGCACACTGACAAATCTGGCTTCGCACTCAGTGTCAGCACGGCCACGGCCCAGGGCTTAGGACTTATGCTAGAATCCTGAGGAAGCCAGGCCCTTGAGAGATGCCTGTGCTTCAGAGTACTCAAGTGACAGAAAATGACCCCAAAGGGGATAGTGTGAGAGGGGAAGATGCTCCTGCCTCAAGGCAGATGGGGAAAAGAAACTGTCTAAATCGTGGCATTTGTCTGTTTGAGATAGGGTCTCCCGATGAAGCCTAGACTTGAATTCCTAATCTTCCTGCCTTGGCCTCCGAGTACTGGGATGACAGGCATGCACTGGCAAAACCCACAGAACATAAAGTCTATTTTAAAATATAACTGGAAAGCCAGGTGGTTGTACACATCTGTAATTCCAGAACTTGAGGGGTGGAGGCAGGAGGATCAGGAATTCAAGTCTAGCTTCAGTCACCTGAGACCGACTGAAAGAAAGAAAAACAAAGAAAAAGAAAAGGCCTTGTATCTGCAGCTCAGCTCACTGAAAACAGTGCAGAGAGAAAACTGGAGCGTGTGTGTGTGTGTGTGTGTGTGTGTGTGTCTGCGTGTCTATGTGTGTCTCTGTGTGTCTCTGTGTGTCTGTGTCTGCATGTCTGTGTGTGTCTGTGTATATGTGTCTGTCTGTGTCTGTGTGTGTGTGTCTGTCTGTGTGTTTCTATGTCTACGTGTCTGTCTGTGTGTCTGTGTGTGTCTGTGTGTCTGTGTGTGTCTGTCTGTGTGTGTGTCTGTGTGTCTTGTGTGTGTGTCTGTGTCTGCCTGTCTGTGCCTGTCTGTGTGTGTGTCTGTGCTTGTCATAGACATAAAGTAGGCGAGACCGAGGGAAAGCAGAGGAAGGGTGGAGAAATAATGGGAGGATTTAGGCTGCTCTAGGAGTCTATATCACTGCACTTTTCTATGCAATGAAATGTCAAAATAAATACTTTAAAAACTGAGGAAGAACCTCAGAAAAACCCCCATGAGCTACACACTACCTTGGGCCTTAGCAGAACCTACCACAGCAAACTCATCACGGTCCAGATGTCCATCCTTGTCAATGTCACTGAGGTCCCATACCTGCAGGGGACAGATTGACCAGAGAGGGTAAAGTTATGTGGGGAGGAAGAGCCTGTGAATGAATCCCACCCAACACAAGCAGCTTCTCAGAGTGCGGGGGGCAGTGCATGAGGCCAAGGCAATCAAAAGACATTTAAGGAGCTGTATGCCCAATGTCCTCCTCTAACCTGCACATATACAACCATGTATACACACATCACATACCACATACATCACACAAACACACATCACACACACATACATACGTCACACATAAGAAAGGAAAAGGAAAAGAAGAAAAAAAAAGGCATTTAAAAACTAGTCTGTGTTTGCCAGTGATAGTACACATCTTTAACCTCAGCACTCAGGAGGCAGAGGCAGGTGAATCTCTGTGAGATTGAGGCCAGCCTGGTCTATGTAGAGAGTCCCAGTTGAGTTGGGACTACAGGGGGACCCTATCTCAAAAAACCAAACCAAAGAAACAAACAAATAGTCTGTGTTGGGAGATTGAGGCAGGGAGATTGTAAACTCAAGGCCTGCCTGGATTACACAGAGAGCTCCAATCCCACCCATGCCACATAGCAAGATCTCACCAAAAAGACCAAAAACAGGAAAACTAGAGGGGAAACAAAACAAAACCAGTCTGTAAACAACTGTCTGGAAAATGTGATGAAACGCTGTCAGTGCCAATGCAAAGATCCCACAGTCTCTCTACAGCATGTTCACTTTGTATAACAAATGTCATGATTAATATCACCTCCAAGGCTATACTTTAAACCAGCCTCATTCTTTTTCTTTGATTAGCTTAATAAAGAAACAGAGGAGTGGGTGTGGTAGCCCACGCCTTTAATACCAGCACTCAGGAGGCAGAGGGAGATGGATCTCTATGTGTTTGAGACCAGTCTGGTCTACGCAGTGAGCTCTAGGCCAGCTGGGACTACAGGAAGACCCTGTCTCAAAAAGACAAAACAAACAAACAAAAACAACAGAGGGGCATGGATCAGATTGGAGCCCCTGCCTAGAATCCCTCAGTGAGGGGCTAGAGGTGTGGCTCAGAGGTAGAGCACATGCGGCCCTGAATACAAGGCCACACACACAGCCCCCACCCCAAGGGATGGTGGGACAGGGCTGTAGGTACTAGGTGGAGCACATCTGTCCAGTTCCATCTCCTTTCTTCAAGGCTGGGTGAGACAGAATGTCCCAGCCCTCTTAGCACACTAAGGTTGAGTAGACAGGTATGAACTGTTAACACCATAAGCAAGTGGTAGTTTCTTGGCCATAGTCACTCATACAAGGACCATACCTGCCTGATCCAGTAATACAGAACGTGTCACTAGCACCTGAAAACCTGGACAGTACACCTATGCATGATGCCTCTTGTCAACACAGTCCTTTTGTATGTCACCTGGTATCAGCCCACAGCAGTCTCTCATCCATTCACCTCCCCAGTCCTATGGGCTAGCCTGCTGCCTCCAGTCCTACACAGCACCCACCTAGCCCTGCCTGCAGTGTTCATCATGTCCCTCAACCCATCACACAGAGGCATGGGACCTGGCCAGCCTGATCTCAGCAGGTTCCCATACACCCACCCAACCTCCTTGAACCTCCTGTGCCCTTTGGGGACTGTGTCGGGAAAGCTACAGCTCAGATGCCTCACTGGCTCCACAGTGCTCCTCCCAGTCCAGGGCCTCCATATCTCAGCTACTGACACTAGAGCCAGTCATTCTGTGAGGTGCAGTGTGCTGCAGGGTCCTAGGCCTTGTCCTAGCCTTTCCCACCCAACATAAGTCACACCTGAATGAAGTGGGAAGACTAGATATATCTCCAAATGTTGCTATGACATCCCTGGCAAGGGGGGAGGTACAAAGGCATGCTGGGTGATCTGGGCCAGTAAAGTGCCGTCACCTGCCCAGTCTGTTCAGAGGGCAGCCTGTGCCCTCTCACCCTGGAGCATGCATCCCAGGGCATCTCCTCTGGGCAGCTCAGGGTGCTTAAGGCCTTGTCTCCACCTTGCCCACAGGGCGCCAAGCTGTATGGGAACAATGCTACTCCACTGAGGAGGGCAGGCTCAGGGACATAGCTCCTCTTGCCTTCTCCAGCATGGCATGGAAGCCTCCATTTCCTCATCTGTAGAATGGGCTCACAACACCCACAGCAAGGTAGGGGCAGGTACTGACTGATGTCACTTGTATCATATGCTGGCATAGGGCCAGATTTATTAAGCCCTCAGTGAACTTAGCACTCAACCACTGTATATCTATTTCATCTCCTGTTGGAGAAAGCTGCCCCATTTGAACTCTGCAGAAAGCATGCTTTTGACTACATGTGCAGTCGCCAGTAGCAAAGATTGTCTAGGATGGCAGAGCCAGATAGGTTCTGAACTGCAGTGTCCCTTATGTTTATGTTTAGACAACAAAGTATGACTTATTTACACTGTTATATGAGTATCTGCTCTATACCTGGCAAACAGGCCACATTTTGTTGCTAATTGTTTCCTGATCTCCTGTAAAGGAATGTCCTTTGATCTGCATACCCTTTGTTTCTGATTACCTGCTTAGAGCACCCCATCGCTGTGCCTTGAAAGTTAAAGACTCTTTGTTCTACTGAATAGGGAGCATCCAGCTTTCTTAAATATTAAATTGTCTGTGTGTGCTGTTTTATTATTAGATACCTCACCATCCCTCTTCGTGTCCAGTCACACAGGACATAGTAATCTCCCTAACTCTATCTAATGCCATCCCATGTTTCTAGCACTAAGCACAGGCCTGGCCTTAGCTCTGAAAAACGTTTACAGAATGATGAACAAATAAGGGTAAGTGCAGTACATGGAGGAATGAGCACAAATGGAAAGGCAAGAGTTCATGGCTGCAGACACAGACACACAGGTGAAGAAACTACAGACACGGGGAACAAAATAATTGCACAGAGGTACATGGGAAAATGAAGTGCTCAGATGTAGGTAAGGCTTGGCTGGAGAGGGAAGAGCCAGGAACCTGTGCAGGAACTTGAAGGGCAGAAGATGGGCAGGACAACCCTACCTGACTCAAGGCACCCCTCCCCCTTGTGCTCTCTGCTGTGTCTGGAGCCTTGGCTCTGTCATGCTGTTGCTGTCACACACAGGTATTGGGCCAGAACGTCAAGTGCATGTCCACTACAGCCACTGTCCATCCCAACATGGCTGACGTGAGGGTGGAGACATGTAAGGTGGCCTACCACGGCCTCCCTGTTCCAAAATAGTTGGTAACAGTAGTCAAGTAGGTATGGGTCAGCCTGGACTAGGTAGTAAGACCTTGCTTCAAAAGCAAAGCAGCAGGGCTGAAGAGTAAGGATGCTTGCTGCTAAGCCTGATGACCAGACTTTAATCCCCAGAACCCACATGGTAGAAGAGAGAATGGACTCCTACAAATTGTCATCTGACCACCACACCACCAGCACAGTACATGCGCGCACCGCCCCCACAGACACCACCCCCTCCACACACACAAACCACCAGCCCGCTACTGATGCATCAGGCCCTCAGTTTTGTCCCCAGCATCGCAAAACATCCAGCTAGCCATTAAAAAATGATCAGGGGGTGGAAAGATGGCTCAGTGGTTAAGAGCAGTGGCTTTTTGCAGAGGACCCTGGTTTGGTTCCCAGCACCCATAGGGTGGCTAACAACTGTCCATACCTCCAATTCCAGGGCATCTGACACCTTCTTCTGGCATCTGTGGGCACTGCACACATGTTGTGCACTTACATGCAGGCAAAACACTCATACCCATAAAATAACAAAAACAATAAGTAAAAAAATAAAAGATCAAGATAGGTTGGTTCCAAGGCCAGGTGCAGCCAATACTAATGATTCCAGCACTCTGGGAACTGAGACAGGAGGACTGTCAGTTCCAAACTTGTCTGGGCAATACAGTGAGACTGTCTTAAGAAAATACCAAAGGATAGGCTCTACCCAAACCAAGCCAGTGCCTGGTAACACATCTCAGACTGTCACTGAGGGCCAGAATTTATCTTTCCTTGGGCTTTTGTTCCATCAAGAGCAACGGAGCAGCCGGGCGTGGTGGCGCACGCCTTTCCCAGCACTTGGGAGGCAGAAGCAGGCAGATCTCTGTGAGTTCAAGGCCAGCCTGGTCTACATAGTGAGTTCCAGGACAGCTGGGGCCACAGGGAGACCCTGTTTCAAAAACGCCAAAAAATAAAAATAAAAATAAAAAAGAACAAGGTGCCTAGGGCCTGAGGAGCCTCTGGCTCTGTCTAGAACCACCACAGGCCCCTGCAGACAGATGATGGTAGCTTGTCTTGCCCACAGATGGTCATGAAGCAGGCTTTGTGCCAGGGCAAACCCAGGCCACAAGCCAGGCTCCACCAAAAGGAAAAGAACCCACAGTGGGGCGCTGGGGCTGAACACTGCTCTAATAGGGACAAAGCTGAGGCTCATTTCTAGTGGGGAGAGAGGTTCCTGACCTGTTATGCAGTCTTGACTGGCCTCAAACTAATGATTCTCCTACCTCAGACTTCGGCGTGGGGAATTGCAGGCTTACACTATCATACCTACCAAAACTAAGAATATCTTTTAATGGAATGCACTAGGCAGGGCAATCCGGAGTTTAAGGTCATTCTCAACCTTTCTGAGCTAAAGGAAACCCTGTCTCAAAAATAAAACCCAAAGCCAGGTGTGGTAGCACACGCCTTTAATCTCAGCACTCTGGAGGCAGAGGCAGGTGGTTCATTATGGGATCCAGGCCAGCTGGATCTACATAGCAAGCTCTAGGCCAGCTGAGGCTATAGGGAGATCCAATCTCAAAACGAAACAAAAATAACAAAAAACTCAAAAGTACTCTAAACTTGCAACAGAGTAGGAAGTACTTTAACCTTGAGGCTGACAGGTGGGAAAAAAAATATCTAAAAATAAAAGCCAGAAGAAGAGAAGGGGGGGAGGGGCAGGGCAGGGGAGGGGAGGGGAGAAGAGAGGAGGAAGAGAAGAGAAGAGAAGAGAAGAGAAGAGAAGAGAAGAGAAGAGAAGAGAAGAGAAGAGAAGAGAAGAGAAGAGAAGAGGGAGAGAAAGAGAGAGAAGCCAGGGCCAGATGTGGTGGTGCACACCTTTAATCCCAGCACTTGGGAGTTTGAGGCCAGCCTGGTCTACATAGTGAGTTCCAGAACAGTCAAGGCTGTATAGTGAGACCCTAACTATATCAAAAAAGGAGGAAAATGAAAAAAGAGAAGAGGAAGGAGGAGGAGGAAGGAAGAAAGAAGGAAGAAGTCTCTGGCAGGGCTTTAAGATGGCTCAGCAGTTAAGAGCAATATAGCTCTTGCACAGGACCAGAGTTTGGTTCCCTGAAGCCACTCAGGGATTGACAACTTTGTAACTCTGGCTCCAGGGGATCTGATGCCCTCTGGTGGCTTCCATGGGTACTTGCATACATGTGGCATATACTGATGCAGATATATACTTGTATATGTAAATAAAAATAAATATTAAAATAAAAAAATTTTAAAAATAGTGTGTGTTGGTGGTATAGTGGTGTGTATAGCTGCCTTCCAAAATAAAAAAATAAAATTAGAAGCCAAGGGCTATCAAGTTGGCTCAGCAGGCAAAAGCACTTGAAGCCTAAAAACCTGGGTTTGATCCCCTAGACCCACATGATAGGTCCTGCAAGTTGCCCTCTGACTTCCACAGGTATACCATAGTGGGTATGTACATACACACACACACACACACACACACACACACACACAAATTTTTAAAATGCAATTAAAAAAAAAAAAAAAAAACACTTGAAAATTAGCTGAGTGTGGTGGCACAGATTTGTAATCCCAGTACTCAGGAGGCAGAGGCAGGAGGATCCCTGGGCTTGCTGGCCAGTCAGCTCAGCTACTTGGTGAATTTCAGGCCGAATGAGAGACCCCGTCTAAAACAGGTGGAAGGCAGGCACCTGAGGAGTCCTTTGAACTCCAGAAGCATGTCACACGCACACTAGTTTTTTTAATAAAAAGGAAAAGAAAGCACACAGAAGGAAGGTGTAGAGCACTGGGCTTGGGGCCAGCTGCCTCCCATCATGAAACGTACAGTATCTTCCTGAGGCTGGAGAACAGCTGTGACCCTCCTGACCACAGAAGTACTAGACACACAGGAATCACCAGGGGGTTTAGGCCAGCACAGAGAGGATGGTAGGCGGAAGACAGGTGAGAGTAACAGCCAAACACGGAGCAGGGCAGAGGCAAAAGCACCCAGCCTGGCCACTTACCCTGCCCAGCACGTCTAGAGGTAGCTTTGAATTCATGAGGACTGGCTTGACCTTGTCCCCAGACAACAGACCATTGACAGGGAGGAGACTTTCAAAGATGCCGTCAAACTTGGCCTTCTCCTCCACCTAGTGGGAAGGAAGGAGCTGCACTGAGTACAGAGCATGCAGTGTGGGCCCAAGTGCTATGAGCACACAGCACACAGTGTAGCCCTGAGCCCAGCTCCTACCTATTCAGAGTTCAGTGGAGACAGTTTATCCCTGCCACTGCCTTCAGCTACCGCTCCAGACATCTTACAACAGCCTCAGCTTCCTGAGTCTCCAGAGTGAATCATGCCATGGCACAACAGCTCTCTGGCCCCATAGGCCTAGGGGCCTCAGACAGCAGGAGAGAGAAGCTGGCCCAAGGTCTTGCTCTGTCCAATGGTAGCAGGGGCCTGGCCAGCAGGCAATGCTTTTGCTCTGCCCTGCCTGTCTCTAAGGAACCCATCCAGATGTTTAGTTCTAGAGCAAACATGCACAAGATCGACTTCCAGCATAGCACAGTGGCACATACCTTTAACCCAGCTCTAGGAAGGCAGAGGCAGGCAGAGATCTCTGAAGCCAGCCTGGTCTACATAGTGAGTTTCTGGCCAGACAGGACCATACTGTGAGATTGTGTCTTAAAACAAAACAAGGAGCTAGAGAGCCAGCTCAGCAATTAACAGGGCTTGCTGCTCTTGCAGAGGAATTGAGTTCAGTTCCCAGCACCCACTTTGGTCAGCTCATAGCTACCTATAACTCTACCTTCAGGAAACCCAACACTCTCTTCTAGCCTATATGGGCACCTACACTCACATGGCATGCACACAGATATACTAAAAATAAAATATTTTTTAAAACCCATAACAGGGCTGGAGAGATGGCTCAGTGGTTGAGAACACTAGCTATTCTTGCAGAGGACCCAGGTTTGAATCCCAGCACCCACATGGCAGCTAACAGCTGTCTGTAACTCCAGCTCCAGGGGATCCGACAGCCTCTTCTGTCCTCTGCGGGCATTGCACAACACGGTGCATTTACCTACATGCAGGCATAACACTCATGCACATAAAATAAAAATAATAAATTAAAATAAAATAAAAAAATAAAAACCCAAAACAAAAATAAACAAAACCAAAACCAAAACAGACAGTATCTCCCTCAGATTCTATGGCTGCTCACAGAGACAAAGAGATGGCACATAATGCTCTAGAATATTTTGAAAGCCATAAATGGCTACTGCAGCCCTCTGTGGTGCTGTCCCTGCTCACTTACCCGCACAGCCCAGTGGGTCTCTGAGGACGGCTGAGTGGCCATCAGTGGGCTGCTGGTGTCATGCTGAGGAGAGAGAGATAGTCACATGTAGGACACTGACTGAGAAGGGAATTATTTCAAAATACTTTCTAAAGGGGAGAGACCTCCAAAAACGTTCAACCTGGGATCCAGCAGTTCCCTCCCAGGTATACACCCACAAGTTAACGCAGGTATGCACCTGAATCCAAACACCATAGCTGCACTGTTTACAGCAACCAAAGGTGGATACGCCCAAGGCTCATCAGCAGGAAGGACAAACAGGGTAAGATGGAATATTACTTAGTCCTAAAGGTAATGAAATCTCATCTATGCTACAAGTTTGGGGAAGCTAAAAACTAGGCTGAGTGAAAGATGCCACACACAAAAGGCCAGACACTGTGCAAATCCATTTATAGAAACATCCAGAAAAGGCAAATCCAGAGATGGGTGGCTGCCAGGGACTGGGAGAAGGAGAAACAAGGATTATGACCTAGGGATAGTGGGAAAGTTCTGTGACTAGAGGTGGTGGCTGTACAATGCTGTAACGTGCAAGTGCCACCCAAGTGTGCGCACTTTATTGAATTAGTTTATTTTTGTTTGTAACAGAGTCTCAATAATGTAACCCTGACTGGCCTGCATCTCACCACCATGCCTGGTGGAATTGTGCATTTTAAAAAGGTGAATTTTGTTATGTGAATTTCCCTGTAACTAAAACACAGGAAGGATGAGAGAAAACACAGAGTTGCACACACGTGTGCACACACACAGTACCAGCAGGGTGTGAACAAGAAGGCTCACACACTCACGAATTTTGGTGGTGGCATGCTGAGGCTCAGGTTGCTCAAGGTGACTTCATGGCCACTCTGTGCACAGGCCACCAGTCTCAGTGCAACATAGAAGCCCTGTGGAACAAAAGAGGAGGCATCGACACCACACAGTGAGGACAGGGCAGCTTCCCATCACTGGAGAGACTCACTCCACAGGAAGGGAGTTTCCAAAGAGAAGGGCTCCCGAGGTTGGGGAACGCTAGGCTGTCTGCTTTCCTTTCAAAGCCGAGAACCAAGCCCAGGGCCTTGCTAGGCAAGCACTCTACCACTGAGCTACACCCCCAACCCCAGGACTGTTTAAAGGAATAGTGACATGCTCACGGTACCAACTGATAGGTGTTTGATGGCTCAAATCTGTGCATATTATTTTATTTTCTGGGTCTGCAGGGCAGGGGCTGGAACCCAGAGCCTCAGGCCATGACAGACAAGTGCTCTACTCCTAAGACACATTTCACCTGAGCACTGAGTTTTTTTTTTTAATTACATTTGTGTGTGCATGTGCGTGTGTGTGCACATGCGTACATGCATACATGTGTAGGTCAGAGGACAACTTGCAGGAGTCAGTTCTATCCTTCCACCGTGTGGATTCCAGGGACTGAACTCAGGTTGTCAGCCTTAGCAGCAACTGCCTTTACCCACTAAGTCATCACATCAGTGCCAGGTGTTAGATTTTTCAAGACAGATTGGGAGCCAGGGATGTGGCTCAGTGGTATAGCACTTGCCTAGCATGTGAGGCCCTGGGATTCATGTGTGGAACCACAAAAGATATAAATAAATAATAAATAAATTGTGGCCCAGTGGTCTGAGGATGACCTGACCTCCACAGAGGTCAGAGAAAGTGAGCTCTGCTTATGAAGAATGGAATCTACCTTTAATATTTTATTATTTTTATTTTTTGTGTATTAATGTATTGTCTGCATGTATGTAAGTGCACCTGTGTTGTGCAACGCCTATGGAGGTCAGAAGAGGGCATCAGATTCCCCTGGAACAATGGTTGCTAGCAGCCATGTGGGAGTGGGACCTGAACCTGGGTCCTCTGCAAGAGCAGCCAGTGCTCTTAACCTCTGAGTCACCTCTCCAGCCCTGAAATCTCCCTCTGGATGGAGATGTGCCCTTGACTCTTCCCTTAAGGGTTAATCCAGTGGAGCAGGTCAGGGACCTGGCTGGGGGAACACCCCTAGGAAGGCAGGTTCACCTTAAGGTGATGTGTTTTTCCTTCCCAGAATTCCTACCCCTAGTATAATGTCTATGAGCCATCAGGAACTTCATGTGGGTTTTCCAGTAACTACTTCTTTTTCTTTTTTCTTTTTTTTGGTCTTTTTGAGACAGGGCTCACTATAGCCCTAGCTGGCCTGGAACTTGCTATGTAGATCAGGCTGGCCTCAAGCTTACAGAGATCCTCCTGCCTCTGCCTCCTGAGTGCTGGGATTAAAAGTGTGTGCCACAATGCCCAGATCAAGTTAACTATTTCTTTTTCTTCTTTTTTGTCTTTTTCATTGGGATGTTGGCCAGTGCCTAAGTATACTTTAAAACTCCTTAACTTTGGGCTCCCTTGCTTTTTTTTTAAGAGTTCCCTCCCTACCATGTGGTCACCTGCCCCAAATGACTGTCCTCCAGGCCACCGTATCTCAGGCACCATGGTTTCTGTTCCTTCTCTCTATTTTCCTCCTCCCTTCCAGGCAGCTTCAGAGTCACAGCTTGTCTGCCCTGGGAACTTCCTCTAAACTCTAACAATTAAAATGATCTGGAGTTTCCGTCTGAGTCCCTTCTTACATTCTTTCACTCATGAGACTGAGAACCCAGGAAGGGACCCATATTTCTCAGGTATCATATGATGACTCTTCTGGGACTCCCCAAGATTTTCAGTAACACTTCTTTCCTGCCTTTTAATTATTTCATTGGTAAGGAAAACAAATCCGTTCCTGCACCCCTACACAGCATCAGGCTGTGAGGCACCTTCACCCCACCCTACTCACCTCTCCTGATCTAGAATCAGTCATACCCAGGCTTAGTGGGATGGAGCAACTTTCTTTTTTTTTTTTTGTCTTTTGTCTTTTTGGTACTTGCTATGTAAACCAGGCTGGTCTCAATCTCACAGACATCTGCCTGCCTCTGCCTAAAACTAAAGGTATGTGCCACCACGTCCAGCTTACTTTCTTTCCTTTCTTTTTTCATTTTATCCTATTTTATTTTTTTGAGACAGGATCATACTATATAGTCCTGGCTGACCTGGAACTCAACAGAGATCTGCCTGCCTCTGACTCCCAAATGCTAGTATTAAACCAAACCAGGCATGGTGGAGCACGCCTTTAGTCCCAGCACTTGGGAGGCAGAGGCAGATGGATCTCTGTGAGTTCAAGGCCAGCCTGGTCTACATAGTGAGTTCAGGCCAGCTGGGGCTACAGGGAGACCCTGTCACAAAAAGACAAAAAGAAAAAAAAGATGTGTAACACTACACCTGGCTCTGTGGTTTTTTTTTCATTTGTTTTTAAGACTTGTTTTTATTATTTTAAATTATATGTGGGGGGTATGTGCATATAAGCACAGGTGACCTCAGCAGGTAGAGGCGTCAGATCCCTAGAGTTGGAATTACAGCTGGTTATAAACTGTCCTATGTGGATGCTGGGAACTGAACTTGGATCCTGTGCAAGAGCAACCAGCACTCTTAACTGCTGAGCCATCTCTTCAGTCCCCTGAGGCTTACTTCTGATTGTCAATTTGACATAATGTGGAGTCACCTGGGAAGGGAGGCTCAAGGAAGAGCTGTCTAGATTATGGTGGTCTGGCAGGGATTGTCTTAGGTTAAATAAGGTGGGAACACACCCAGATGTGGGATGCGTCCTGACTGCCTGAGAGAGAGTGAGCTGAGCACTGCAGGCTCATATTCACTCACTGCTCTCTATTCTTGACTGTGGTGTGATGTGACCAGATGCTTCAGGGTCCTGCCATCTTCTGTGCAATGATGAAATGTACACAGTGGCAAATAAACATAAACCCTTTCTCCCCTAAGCTGCTTCTGTCAGGGCATGTGTCATAGCAACAGAAAAAGTAACTAAGACAGTCACCAAATGGTCACAGGTGTGTCAACCAGTGAGGAAGCTAACAGTGTTTAAAGGTCTGCATCTCCAAGTGGGTACTCCTCACTCAGTCTGTCAGCCTGTGGGAGCAGACCAGCATGGAGTTAGTGTGGAAGTCACCTGACCTGGGGGGCCAGTCCATCCCCTGCTCGATGTATGCACATATATACCTGTTTGTCCAAGAACCCTTTACCTTCGGGGTCGGCCAAATCCCATATCTGTGGAAACACAAAAGTGCCAGTGAGAGTGACTGGTGCCCACCATCCAAGTGTGACACAACAAAAGCCATGGCCACTTCCTGTCTACCATGGGCAACTGGGACCAACAGCCCTGCGGGCATAGGGGACCAGGTCAGTATGGAGCAGACAACTGGTCTGCAACGGACACACAGTCATTAGATGGCAGGGTACAAAGAACCCTTATGCCCACTTGGCTGACAGGGTAATGGTGCCTATTTAGTCATGACACTCCAACACAGACCTATAGCTATTAAGACCCCAAAAGCATTCTGGTCTAATCTGCTCCCCAAGCATCAATAGTGGCTATCATTCCAGCATTTGTGGGTGAGCTTGTTTACCTTTTTTTTTTTTGAGACATGGTCTCACTACGTAACCCTGGCTGGCCTGGAACTTGCTATGTAAACCAGACTGGACTCCATCTCACAGATATTCACCTGCCTCCATCTCCCGAGTGCTGGGACTAATGACATGCACCACTACACCTGGTTTTGGTTTATCTTTTTAAAGATAGGGTCTTACCATGGAGCCCTACCTCAGCCTCTCAAGTGCTGGAATCAGGTGTGGAAGGCCTGGTCTAGAGACTTTATCTAGTTATGGCAAAGAGGTTTGAGGTAACCAAGCCAGGCCAGGCCAATGGACCTCTACGTCCAGGGGCACCAGAGAAACTGTTGCCTTATTCTTTCCTACCTTCCCCAGGATGGTGTCTGAGAGCCCTGATTTCTTCAGAAACAGTGCAGCTTCGCTGGCTCCCACTCTCCCTGTGTAGGCCGGGTCCACCTGGAGAGAGCACAAGAGCTAACAGGACTCCTTCCAGACACAGGGTTGCCAACACTGTTCCCAGTGCTCTAAAAAGCACTTCAGTGACCTTCGATTGGGGACCATGGGTTCAATTTAACTGCTCCCCGAGTTCAGCTACAAACACAATGGCTGGCAGGGTGCAGCTGGTGGCAGAGTCATGCTCAGCATGCACAAGGCCCTGGATTCCATCCCTGGTACCAACACATACATATATACACATGGTACACACATAACATAAAAAGACACCAGGGGGCCGGCAAAGATGGCTCAGCAGGTGAAGACCCCTGCCACCAAGCCTGATAACCTAGGTTCAATCCCCAGGACCCACATGGTAGATGGAAAGGGGGAACCGACTTCCATATTTGTGCTGTTCACGTCCACACAGTTTAAATACATAAAAATACAGAAAAGCAAACAGAAGGCACCAGTTAAACTTACCTGCTTGTAGTAAGATTCATATAAAGGATTTCCACTGGGAATCTGAACAAACACAAAAATCAGAAACACTGGTCACAAGTGGGCATGCAGCCCCTCAGAGGGAAAGGTGCCCTTCCTGTGTTGAGGTTTTGTTTCTTGGGTTGTTGCCTAGGCTAGTCTTTTTTGTTTGTGTTTCACTTCTTTTGGTGTTTTTGTTTCTTAATATTTTATATATTATTTTTGCTTTATGTGTATGCATGTATTGCCAGCATGTAGGTAAATGTACCCATGTTGTGCAATAACTGCAGATGGCAGAAGAGGCTGTTGGAGCTCCTGGAACTGGAGTTACAGTTGTTAGCTGCCATGTGGGTGCTGGGATTTGAACCCAGGTCTTCTGCAAAAACAGCCAGTGTTCTTAACTGCTGAGCCATCTCTCCAGCCCCTTTGTTTTTAAGTCAGGGTCTCCCTGTAGCCCCAGCTGCCTGGAACTCGTTATGTAGACCAGGCTGGCCTCTGCCTCCTGAGTATGCAACCATGCCCAGTCTTGTTTCATTTTCTCTGTGTAGCCCTGGCTGATCACTATGTAGCCCAAGTTGGCCTCAAATTCATGGTGATCCTCTTGCCTCAGGCTCTCCAACACAATACAGGTGAGCTACCTGCCTCAGCCTCCTGAGTGGCTGGGACCACAGTTGCATATCATACACAATTCTGCCTTTACCAACATATACCAGAATATACCAGAAAACATGGGCACTAATGCTCTCTAGCAAACTCTCATTCCAGTGCAAACAAAGGGTGGCCCAGGAAGTATCAGCAGCCAGGGTCCTTCAGGTTCCCCCCTTCCCAGGCCTGAGAGAAAATACCCAGTTGGCGCCAGAGGCAGATGAGGAGCTTCTGCGCAGTGCTGTGAGTCACTCAGCTCACTTGGCTGACTGGTTGCCTCCCTGGGTTCTGGTCCAGGCCCATCCAGTTCTTCTCCTGCAGCCTGAGTGACCTGAGTGACAGGTGTCAGGACACATGCAGGCTGCAGACCTCTCCCTATGCGAGACATCTTGGCTCAGCACCAACAACACGCCATGTCCAGCCCAGTCCTGGGGTCACCAATATCCAGACTCCTGTGGCTACTGAGGCAGCACAGGGGTCCCTCTGAGAAGGAAAAGTTACAGTCTTTTAACTGTGTTCTTATATTAAAGGAATTGAGCCTACACTATTTTGAAGTCCCTCTTTCCCTTACTAGGTAGATACCTTGATATGCAGCCCTAGGGTGTTTTACTCTTCAGTGAGGTTTTATCGCTGTGATGTTCTCACTACCGTGTGATGTTTTATCACTTACATTCTGACCTCTGTGATGCTTTCCACTGACCATGTATAACTGCTGATAAAGAGGTGAAACTAAGAAAAGGAGTTCACCAAACGTTTTAACGAGGCACCTGCCAATCAGCCCCAAAATGTGGATTAAATGTGACATATCGAAACTTCTGCCAGTGATATCTGCGGATGTAAGCTGCAATGACTGATCGATTCCTAGCCCAGTTAGCCTGTCCTACTATAGATCAGAGGGGGGCAGATGCCCTGACCCACGCCTGGGGTATCTACTTTGAAAACTATGGTGACCAGGTGAACTCAGGAAGGAATTTTCCTGAGATAGTATCATGAAAAGAGACATAGGGGCCAGGTGCCAGCCATAATATGATGTAAGAAGGCCCTATCTGTACTTCTATTCAGGGCCCAGAAAATCTAAGTCTTGGTTGCTGATTCTGGGACCTCATGCATGGGAAGAGAATAAATAAGCCTTTGGGCTCGCTCCTGGGTGAATGCTTGATTTCAGTTGTTTGAAGAATTCTTCCATAACACATCTAGCTATGCAGGGCACAGCTTTCCAGTCAGTCCATTATCTCCTTCAGTGACTTCCACAGGGCAGCCCTCGGTGAAGAAGAAAGGGGTCTCTGAGAGCAGGCTGCCTGGTGGGGAGGCAGATGGCCACAACAGAGCTGGGTCTCCTAGCACTAAACCTTCCTTGGAGCTAGGTAGCCCAGAACTAGGGTGTAGAGGGGTGGCTGAGACAGGAGGATTGTGAGTCTGAGGACAACCTGGGCTACATAGTGAGACTCTGCCTCAAAACAAAACTAAATAAATAAAGGGCTACATAGTGCTTTGGGGAAGGGGGGTGGGGTTGAAGTTCCAATGTGGGCAGCTTCAGCCCAGTGAAGAGTAGGGTGAGGCAGAGACAGGCAGGACACTGCTGCGGTCCTGGGAAGCTATACCATGTCCTCCCTCTGCCTGCCCAGCAGGGAAGCCAGAAAGGCCCGACCAGATGTGGGCTTCCGGCCTCAGTCTTCCCAGCCTCCACGGCTACAAGAAGTAAGTCTGTTCTAGATCAGTGGCCTAGGGCACCCTGACAGCAGCACAAAACAGAGAGTGTAGTCAGGCTGAACTGACAGAGGGGAGCTTCCACAGCTAGAAAGTAGATGGTGCATCAGGGCACTTCTGAGAGGTGAGCAAACCTTCCTAGACCTGGCCAGCCTGTAAGCCCACCATGCTGAAGGCTGAGGCAGGAGGCTTTTCTTCAGGGTGCAGCTGAGCTATGCAAACACACAACTCTGAGCACTATCCCATGACTTCTGCTGTCCCATGACTTCTGCATAAGGCATAAAGCCAGGAGAGAAAGCAGGGGCTCTGAACCAGTACCACCAAGAGCCTGCAAACTGCCACTCGCAGGATCATTTCAGGTTAAAAATAATGCCTAAGCCGGGCGTGGTGACACACGCCTGTAGTTCCTGCACTTGGGAGGCAGAGGCAGGCAGATCTCTGTGAGTTCAAGGCCAGCCTGGTCTACATAGTGAGTTCCAGGACAGCTGGGGCTACAGGGAGAACCTGCTTCAAAAAAAGACAATAAAATAATAATAATAATAATAATGCCTAATTATAGTCAGTTCCTCTGGGGAACCAGACACCTGCCAGCAGAGAAAGAACTGAAAGTTTACAGCAAAATACCAATGCAGGGAGAGACAGGAGGGAAAGTGGCGGGTTGCCGGGGAGACGGGGGAGTCAAAACAGAATGGGACAAGGAGATGGGGGTAGTTTCAGAAAAGTAGGAAAGGCTAGGATGGCATGAACAGGCCTAAGGTGTCACAGCAAATCAGCAAATGCTTTTTTTTTTTTTCGGTCTTTTTGAGACAGGGTCTCCCTGTAGCCCCAGCTGGCCTGGAACTCACTATGTAGACCAGGCTGGCCTTGAACTCACAGAGACCCGCCTGCCTCTGCCTCCCAAGTGCTGGGACTACAGGTGTGCACCACCCCACCCAGCTAGCAAATGCTTTTTAAAAAGACACTAGGAAAATGCCAAAATGAAAGCTGGGCATGGTGATGCACTCCTTTGATCCCAGCACTCAGGAGGCAGAGGCAGGCGGATCTCTGTGAGTTCAAGGCCAGCCTGGTCTACATAGCAAATTCCAGGCCATCTACTATAGGGAGACCCTGTCTCAAAAGGTTTAAAAAAAAAATGCCATAATGAGGGGCCAGTGAGGTGGCTCCCAGAGTAAAGGCACTTGCCACCAAGCCTGAGAACCTAACTGACTTTGATCCCTGGAACCCACATGTTGGAAGGAAAGAACTGATTCCAACTCACCAGTTAAGAGCACATACTGCTCTTTCAGAGGACTGGAGTTTGGTTCCCAGCACCCACATCAGGTAGCTCATAATTTCCTGTAACCCCAGCTCCAGAGGATCTGACACTGTCTTTTGGCCTCCACAGACACTGCACTCATGTGCATACATACAGTGACATATTAATAAGTACCAAAATAAATCTTGGGGCTGGAGAAATGGCTCAGTGGTTAAGAGCACTGAGCACTGACTGCTCTTTGGAGAGGACCAGTTCAGCTCTCAGCACCCACATAGCAGCTAACAACCACCCATAACTCCAGTTCCAAGGGATCCGACATCGTCTTCTGGCCTCTGCGGGCATTGCACACATATGGGGCACTTTCATACATGCAGGTAAAACACTCACACACATAAAATAAAAATAAATTGCCGGGCATGGTGGCGCACACCTGTAGTCCCAGCACTCGGGAAGCAGAGGCAGGCGCATCTCTGTGAGTTCAAGGCCAGCCTGGTCTACATAGTGAGTTCCAGGTCAGCTGGGGCTACAGGGAGACCCTGTCTTAAAAAGACCAAAAAAAACCATAGAAGTACATAAAACTTCAAAGAAGTACAAAACTTCATAAAGTTAAAAAAATAAAATTAATTTTTAGTAATTTTTTTATATTTTTTTATTTATTTTTTATTTTATGTGTATAAGTGTATTGCCTGCATGTATGTAAGTGCACCTATTTCATGCAATGCCTTCGAAAGTCAGAAAGAGGACATGGGATCCCCTGGAACTGCAGTTACTGCCCTGGGAAAAAAGGAGCTTCTGCAGATGATGGGAACAGAACAGATGTCTCAGTTTAGAAACGAACAGGAGCTGGGTGTGGTGGTGGACACCTGTGGCCCCAGCCATGGGAAGCTATCAAACCACATAAAGATGGACAGAACTGGCCACAAAGATGTTCTTTGAGCTCATACATGCAGTGTATGAGGCCCCACCCCTAACCCTAGCCCTAGACATAACCCTAGTTGTAACCTTAACCTAATACTACAACTAAACCTATCCCTAACCATAACTCTGTCCTTAACCCTAACCCTAAATCTAACAAATGACAATAACAAATAACATTACAATAAAATAAATCCAAAGTTAACAAAAACAGAGTTGTGGCTCAGTGGTAGTGCACCAGCTTGCCTGAACAAGGTCCTGGGTTTTACCCCACAATTCAACCAAGAAATAAAAATAAGGGAAAGAACCACTCATGGTCCTCTCCCCTGCCGCTGCAGGAAGGAACCGCCTAAACCTGCTCATGGGGGAGAGGCAGAATGTTTTTTTATATGTGTGTGTGTCTGTAAGTGTGTGTGTGTATATATCTTTTTTTTTAAAAGCTCTGAGCTGTGATGGCGCACACCTTTAATCCCAGCACTTGGGAGGCAGAGGCAGGCGGATCTCTGTGTTCAAGACCAGTCTG